TCTATAATGTGTTATTGAATTAAAGCAGTCTTAAGATTGGATCAATCTCATGCTGATCTCTCTTATACACAACCACAACCACACACACACACACACACACACACATGCACAATCAGGAGCAGATCCTTTATGCAACTTTTTGCCAGACTTTCCAGATTTACACGTCTACCATGTAATAACGTTTTATTAAACGACATCTGTTCCCAAATTGCAAAGAGACCTCAAATCAGCGCAACAATAGTCAGAGTGTTTCCCCTCCCACACCTGACCACTGCAGTAGTCAAACACGTGGACGACTAACATGAAGGCTCAGGGTTTTTTTTAGAGTTATAGCTGCAAAAAGACAAGTCCTTTCTTTCTTTACGCAAAAAAAAACACTCTCTAAGAAAGTTTATTGAAGGATGCCAGGTTTGGAGGTGATAGTAGAGGGGAGGAGCAAACAAGAGAGGATGATGATGATAATGAGATGTCAGCTCAAGTCCTGCCAAGAGGACGAAGTGATGAAAAAAGAAAGCCAAAAGAAAAGACACAAAGAGAGAGCAGCAATACTTTTACTCACCATGAGCAAACACACGGCCGATTCGGGCATGAGTTGGACAGCCATGATTGGATCCTCCGATGGGTTTTCGTAAAAAAAAGGGAAGGTTGGCAATTTCCTCCAGCGATCCCTTCCTTATCCTCTTACTTGTTCTTATTCAGGAGGCAAGCTCACCTCTGTCCAGATGAAGCCCCCCCCCTCCTTCCCTCACGCTCTGTGTCCTTAGCCCCCTCCTTCAGTCAGAGCTGCAGACAGCCCCTGGTCTCAGATTATAAAGCCACAGTCTCTGGAGAGCCTGTGACTCCCCCAGTCTCTCTCTGCTTGCTCTTCAGACTGAGCAAAAAAAAAAAACACAATCCTTTTTCTTCTTCTTCTTCTTCTTCTTTGATCTGAGAGCTGAGCAGACCCCCCCTTTCTTCTTTCACTTTTAAAACACTCCCCAAAGACCAAACGCCAACCACCCCCCAAACCCACTATGACAGGGGGCGCCTCTTGCTAAATTGCTCCCCTCCTTCTGTTGCTGCCTCCTGCCTCCCTTCTTCTTTTTTTTTTACGTCCACACTCCTCACAACACAAAGCACATCCAGGCTCGCACGTGGGTTGTCGTTTTCTTTTTCCCTGAGGTGTCCTGTCGCTGCTCCAGAGGATGCAACCTGCATCAGTGATGATGATCCCAAGCACTCTTCTTCTTCTACGGTGGGAAAGACAGACTCTCAACCTCTCCACACTGCAGAGAGATCCTCGTTAAACTAACCCCCCAGTCTCATAGATCATAAGCATGAGACAAGGGCAGAAAAGTGAAGCAAAATAAAGAAGAGAATAAGAGATACCGATCAATGGTTTCAGAGTTTGCTGTTTGCCAGGAGGAGAGATGTAGTGGAGGCAGCAGCCACCGGTGAAAGAGATCCACACTGTGCTGAGCGTAAATGAGGGGTGGGTGGGGAAGAGGGAGGGGTAGCGAGTGATGGAAATGTAGTGAGCAAGTGCAGACCGCGCCTATCGATGCCGGATGAAGCAGCAAAAGGCAGCATGGGATGCGAGTAAAGACGCCTTAGCGTGCTGTGATGAACAGAATGTGCATGTGTGATTATGCACATATGATTTACATCCACAGTAGCCGTCATGTTCACAGACACATGTGCTCCAGACTTGGATTTTTTTTTTTTTTTTACAGCAGATATGCATTAATAATTAAACCACAACACAGTCTCAGCATGGCTTTGTAGTGAGTGTGCACGAGAGAGCACATTTGGATGGGGAGAAAAGCAAAAGGGAAATAGTCGAGATGCTGAACAGAAGGATGCTAAAGCTGTCAGAAAAGCAACGGCTCTTTTGTTAAGTGGCAGAAGCTTCATCTGGAGTATTAGGAAAACTTTCTTTTGTCCAATATCAAAAATATATACTTACATATTTTAAAATGATCTTAAGGAAGAGGATTAGGGCCACTGAAAAAAAAATCTTTTGGTTCTGATATTTTTTTTTAAATTCTGAATTTATTCTCAGAATTCTGAGATTTAAGTCAGAATTCTATTTCAGTGTCATGACTCGACTCAGAAGATTACAACACAAGTCAGCAAAACCAGATTATCTGATGTTCCAAAGATTATTGTCAGGTGATGATATTCACCTGAAGATGACCTCTGTTTAATTGACGACGTTGTGATCAATTCAAACTTTTTGTGGCATTTGAGCGAGTGTGCGGCCCTATCTTCTTCCTCAGTGTGCTGATTTTGCGTTCCCCTGCACATGTGTGATGATGTGCGTAATATCTCCTTTGCCAAAGATTATCTTGCCAGATTCTCCTGTGGTGTAAGGTTTGTTAAGAGTGATTCTAACCTCCCTGAGCTGCTCGGAAGAAGATCCAGGCTGCCTTCAATTTGAAATCGTAAATATTAATCGTGTTCAATATTTATAATCAGAAATAATGATGTTTGAGAAGAATACCGAGCACGGACTCTGTGATTCCTCCAGAGGAACAGAACAATAGCCAATAAGGAAGGAAGGAAGATGATTGAAGCAGGAAGCAAAAACAAAAAACATAACCATGGAGGCGACTGCAAACATGAAGCATAAAGAGATGGACGTCATAAATGCACGACCAATTTGTTGATTTCAAGGCAACCATAAGTGTTTTTACAATATGTGCTTTAAAAGATGCCACAATCCAACTAACACAGTTTGTACTGTAATAGATGTACCAGCTAACAGCTAGCCACATTTAGCTTGCCAATTATGTTTTTTTTTAACTCTTAAGTCGCTTCTGACCGCTCCAGATTACATGTTTTGACAGTCTAGACTTGTTGGTGGATGAATCGGTTAGTGTGAGGTGTGCTGAGTTGGTCGTCTCGTTGCTCTCCACACGCTATAAGATCTGAACTTATACTGTCGTCATGTGTGGCCTCGCTCACATTTTAAATTGGTTAAGATTTTTAAAAAATCTTTTAGTGTGTGCCAGGCCTTACCAAACAAAATGCAGCAGTGTGAGAGAAAGTCAGATCAGAGAGAGAGAAGAATTTAGCAGGAGCTTAAGGTCTAGTCCACATGTAGGCGGGTATTTTTTGAAAACTTAGGTTTTTTCTGGTTTGGCCTTTTGTACGTGTGTTTTAGTTAACTTTATTTATTTTTTTAATCCCACAGCTTTATTCTAGAGTCTTATTGTGACAATGTCATGTCAATGTAAATAGTACTTTTTTTTATTTTTATTGAAGGGTTTTTAAAATTAAAACAGAAACAGGCAATGGGAAAAAAAAATACAAGGAAAAACTCTAAATTTATTCAGAAGCTAAATGTTCCCAAGCCTGCCTGCAAATCCCCCCACGCATGTTCCCAGTTTTGTACATAAATATATCCACACAAACCTATACACATTTACATACATGTCAATCAATAACAGTGTTTCAGTTCACTGAAAACGCACTTTTTGGAAAACGGGTAAAGATTTTCTGAAACTCAATTTAAGGTGTTTAGACGGGAGAAAAGAGATTTGGTCTTGTCACGCACTATGCTCAGGTTTCTCCTCTGTTTGGTATCTTTTTTTTTTTTTTTTTTTACATGAGATCAGTGCAATGGCAGACTTAACCAATCTCGTGCTGGTGTTAACATTGCTAACTGGACTTTTTGAAATACATGAACAGTTGCTCTCCCACTGTGTTGTCGAGCAGAGGAGCCTGAATGACAACTTTGTGAATGGAATTGTCGCTGCAGAGGAATGGCGAGAGCAGTTTTTGCAGATCGAGGACATTACCATGCTCACGACAGCTGTAACAGAACGTTTTGTGTTTTCATGTGGACAAAGACGTTTTTCAGAACCTAGCATGAGTGGTCAGGTTTTTTTTATTTTTATTTTGAAATACCTGCCTACGTGTAGACTAAGCCTAAGTATCTTCACCACATGGGGCACAGGTGTGCTGAGTTATGCTAATTAGGTAATAGACATAGATATACACCTCCAAGATGAGAACACTAAGACACCAACAGGGCATCATACAAGACAAATGTCACAGGGGGCTTTTTAAACTCTGTGATTTGTGAATATAATAAAAAATTGTTTCATTCTTCATATTGTAGCAGCCTGTAATGTTATGTTTGGGGATGTTTTATTTTTCAGTTGTTGTTTTTGTCATTTATTGTCATCCCCTGTTTGCCTTTTAAATACTTATTGTCCCTGTGTTCTAGATCCTGCTCCTTGTTTTGTTTTTAACCGTGTGTGATTGAACTCACCTTCTCCTCTGATTGCCTGTGTATTTAAACAGTCCTGTGTGTCCTTCCCTCATGTTGACGTTTCCTTGTGTGTTCCCTAGTTTCATCGTTTCAGAATTCACTCTCTGTCAAAATTCTAGTGTATTGCCACATAGCCTGTTTTCTGACTGCTGCCTTTTTTATTTCTCTTGCCTGGCATGTGTTTTGATGACCTGTTTACTGATCTGACTGTTAATTAAAATCTGCCTTTCATTACCTCCTGTTATGTGTGAGCTGTGTCTTTTTGGGTCCTTCATTCTGCTGGTTCTTTTACACAAGGCTGATTAAACAGTAAATAATAATAAACAATGATTTATAAGACTCAGCAAAGCGTTCTTCATAGAGATCAATTCAAAGGAATGACAAATGGTCTTATTCTTCTGCATGGGATTTTTTCTTTCTTACGCAACAAGCATTAAAAAACAACCTCTTACTTATTCTGACTTCCTCTCACCGCTCCGCTCTTGTCTTTTCAGGAAGTTGAAGAATGGCACACAGCATATTATTTATTGCCACTCTAAAAATAGAAAAACAACATGGAATGGAAATCTGTATGTGTACTGAAGGACATGACAGAAAAAAAGCTGTTGTTTTGAAAGGATTCATACTTTGGTGAGTAATCTGAAGCATGTATTCTCTATTCAAAACCAACAAACAGGAAACACCTTTTTTTTTCACCAGTCTCTGCTTCGCCCAACCCAAGTTTAAACTCCTCCCTCTACAGCTTCAGCACACACCACACACACAGAGCGACTTGTAGCGTCTTGATTTCTTTAGAGCTGCAACCTTAACGTTACGCGAACAACACACGAGGGGATATATGGTGAGTAGAAACCAACTCTGATTAAAGACCCAGCACAACAACATGTCAGGGAAATGCTACTGCAAAAGTTGTATCAGTACCAAAAACTGGCTCTTACTTTAATGTCAGTATAACAGCAGGGACAAAGGGTTAACAGTAATCACAGTGTAATGTGTCATGAACAGTTTGGAAAACAAGGAAGGGGGACCCAAATGCAGAATAACCAAAAATATTTAATTAAACAAAAAGGCCAAAGGGCGAACAAAACTTACTTCAAAAATCCAAAAAGGGAAAACAAGGAGCGACAAGGAAACACTAGAAACTCTGACAGTGACGTACATACTCTGAACTCTGAACAACTAACAAACATCTGACAATCCAGCAAACTACATCCAAGAACTAACACTTTTGACTTACAACATACGATGAACTGACACAAGAAGCTACAAAATAAAAACAGGAAACACTAAAGACCAAACTATGAAACATTAGGACAGAAACACACGAGGGAAACAAGCAACACTTGGATAAAACAGGAGAAATTAAAACATGGAAACCTAAACGCTGAAATACAAAACTAAATAAGACCAAGTAATGTATAAAACAAATACCTAATAAAACATTTAACTCCTTTTTGTTTACGCTTTAAGCACTAATGCTCTTTAACCCTTTTTTTTTTGTTATCTTGGTGATTGCAGTTGTTCTGCCTGAGTTCAGCATAAGATGGCGCTGCTGAGCTATAACACTAAGCCTGTTGGAAATGAAAGCTTGGACAAGAAGTGGGTGTCAGTTGGCTCGGGGGGATTTGGCCACGTCTACAAGGCCAGGCACAAGGATTGGGAGTTTGATGTTGCCATTAAGATACTCCGTGATGGTATTTGGTAAATTATTATTATTTTTACCGGTAATTTATCTGTTCTTATAGTCTTGAATTTTCTATACGTCTGGAAGGATAATTGAAGCAGCACTTTCTCTTCAAAACATCCCCTCCTTTATTGCAGCCCCTTCCTTCCTAAAGAACGAGCCCTGACCGAAGAGGCTAATCATATGAAAGACGCTTCCTGTGAGTTTGTGCTGAGGGTTTATGGAATGTATCAGGGATGTCCCCCGGTTGGAGGATCCTCCCAGCAGAGTGGAATAGTGATGGAGTTCATGGAAAGAGGATCCGTCATGTCCCTGTTGGAGGACCTGTGCAGCCCTCCTCCGTGGCCCCTGGTCTTCCGCTTGGCTCATCAGGTGGCTTTAGGGATGAACTTCCTCCATTCGAGGAACCTCATGCACCACGACCTAAAGCCGAGTAATGTCATGCTGAATGATGATCTTCATGCCAAGGTACGGTGCCACAGACTTTTACTGTCATACTACATACAAAAAGCTGTTTTAATGTTGGTTTAGTTATACTAATTGTCTCACTCTATATAGCTTGCAGACTTTGGTTTGTGCAGGGTTTCAGCAAGCGCTGCAAACCAAAAGAGAGAAGCCACAGGAAGGCCAGGAGGCTCGTTTAAATACATGCCTCCTGAAGCTTTTGATACATCCTATCAACCTGTCCGAGCTTTCGACAGTTACAGGTTAACATAGAAAATTATTATTCACTTATTGGAATACTATCCCATTAAATAGAAAGAAACACTTGTATTTCATACCTTCACATGTTTGTTTCTCTTTAAATGAATCAGCTATGGTATCCTGCTCTGGTCCATTCTCACTGGAAAGGAGCCCTATCCAGGTACATATAGTTTATAGAATAACTTAGTTCAAACATCTTCTCCATTTGTTTTTCCAATTAATTCTATTAATATATACCAATGTTGTAGAATCTATACAACAATAGAAATACAGAAACACACTTACATACACAATAACATGATATATACAATAAAATGCACTACAGCACTAATATTGAATACCATTGACTATAGCCTATATGAATATGGACAAAATGTCTACATCTCCTTTTTGAACAAAAATGAAGCCAAATACTGCAGCGACAGACGCTGAGCCGTTGAATTGACTTGAATGTATTTGACGAGTGGAGCCATGGGATTGATGCCACTGCTTCTTCCTCTAACCAAAATACAAAACGTAACTTTTACAATTAATCATAAAAGATCCCTCAGGTCGGTGCAGTCCACAGAAGAACAGATTCATGTGTCAGTTTTGAAGCAGACACTCACTGCTATGGAAAGTTCAATGACTCTTGTGTCAGTGTTTGTTACGTCACCTCTTGTCCTTACTCCTGTACTCGGCTAATCTGGGAAAGAATGCTGCAGGAACCTTAACTGTCAACAGAGCTGTCAATCACAACATGACATATTCAAAATGTAAACCCTGAAACAGGATTTAATCATAAATCAGCATGAAAAGTAGCAACTATCGTGATCATTTTGTTTAAAAGACTTACCATGTATTTTTATTTTATGGTTTGACCCATGTCCTATCTGTTAACATGGAGGAGGTGAATCTTATGTCTGCTCAGTAGTAGTAGTAGTAATCATTTATTTCGGTCACAAGAAAAGACTAAAACATTTTGACCGAAAAGGTGTGAGGCTGAAGCTTTATCTTATTACACCTACCCTTATTACAAATATTTTTATTGAAGACACGACTAGTTTGGTTACAAAAAACAAAACATATCAGTTCCAAGAATTTCTTTCAAAACAAATGAAACAAAACAGAAGTCACACTCACAAAAAATAATCAAACCGACCTTTTATATTTGTTAAACACCATTTTTTTAAACAAAAATTTAAATCTGGAAAGTGAAGTATCGCTCTAGAGTTTTTGGCTTCGCTTTTGGGCAGCGGCTGTGTCGTCCATCTTTTCAAACAGTCTATGTGAGATAGTCTTTCACAAACACAAACAGAAAAATAAGTAACAGCTATCTTGTTTATTCTTTCTTTTCTTTTACTTCATTTCTAATTTGACAAACATTTGGTTCAATGCCGGTAATTTCTCTATTTCATTAAATACAATAAAGCACATGTACTCAAACTGTCTTGTGTTTTCATGCTTTTCATTTTGTGTCACACGTTCTGTAGCGGCTGATTACGAACTTGTGGCGCTGAAGATCCCTTTAGGTGATAGACCTCCCTTGGAGGAAATTGACCAGCAGAAGGCAGAGGGGCTTAAAGAGCTGGTTGTCCTCATGAGAAGGTGCTGGGACGAAGATCCTTCCAAGAGGCCTACTTTTAAAGGCAAGCATTTTGTTATGTCATATTGAGCTCATTTGTCCCCCTATTAGCGTGTTCTACTTTGAATAAAATCAGCAGAGAGGTCTTTTAAGGAACAGCTTGCTCTCTGTGAATTTAGCACACTGTGATTTCCTAACAATAATGAACCTTGGCTTCTGTTTCAGAGTGCGTCAAAGACACTGAGAACGAGTTCTTAAAGCACAAACAGGGAATTCATGAAGTAGTCCTTCGAGTCTTAAAAACACTGGTAAAACACATGCATTTTATTTCAGTGCATGTACATATGGTTAAGATTAATCATGATTCTCTTTTTGACTTAAATAAAAACAACGCTCTCATTTTTCTACTGTAGGACCCATCGACCAGAAATCCACATCAAAACATAAAAGAAACACTCAGTTTTCCTCTGTCTACACCAGGTATATTTATAGATCCTGTTTTTGTTTTCTGTAAGTTTAATTTCAAGCTATTTCTTGTTTTTTCCACTCTAAAACATGATGTTCCTCCTTTTTTAGAACCGTCAAAGTTGAATGACTCTATGGATGGCAGAGAATCTAAAAGTTCACCGATACAGGTTTGTCAAATGCTCTAAGTCCTTTGACTGACAGCTGACAGTTAATTTGTTTATTTAATCAGATAATCAGGAATCCTCTTCCTGATCAAGAGACTTAAAACAAACATTTAGCCTACTTTCAGACTCAACAGTATATGTAATATGTTAGGGTGAATATGGGTAAAGTGGGACACTTTCTGAAATTCTGTGTCGACTTTAATTATGATTTATTTGTCAAATCCCCTCATATTATACTATTCTAAATAGCTTAAGAGATCTACTATACTATAGAGAAAAAAAAGGAGAGAAATATTAAACACACGGACGGATGGCTCTTACTCAAACAAATATTGACCCTAAACAAAGATTTCCCTGGGACTATTGGCAAAGTGGGACACCTACAATTGGTACACTGGGACACTTAAAACACACTCAGTTTTTTCAATTAAAAACACAATAATAATATCAATTACAACAATTTTCACTTTTAAAATAATTTGATATTTAAATTTAAATAAGCAACTTTCATAAAAATCTCATAGATCATTAATTACACATACTAAATTTAACACAGGCAGCAAACAGTCAGCAGCCTCCTCCTATAGGCGAACATAAACATCTGGTATAGAGTCAACGGAAGCAATGTAAAAAAGTGAGAAAACATGTAGACCAAGACAGGATCCGACTGAACAACTAATTCAACGTATATTTCTATATAGGTACTTATGCATATATAATATTTGGAATGGGAATTGTACTTTATTATTGTTTTATAACACACTCTGGGTAAACAAGAAGTGGATCACTGAGATTCTTAACTAGTGTAAAATACATGAATGAAAACACTGGTATACAAAAACACAGTAAAGAATGACATTTTTCATTTTGTTTTTTGTAAACAGGATTCTGTCAGTGTTTCAACCAAAATAATGAATGTTGCAGAAAAAGGTAAGAATTATCATCTTGTAGTGATACTTTGTCATAGAAAGTATATTTTTAACACTTTGTATGATACCCACATTTGTGCTTTTGATACATGCTTGTGTTTTTATATATTCCCAAACAGCAAAGTTCATTGATGACAACAGGGCAAAGTTGATTCAAGTCGTTTCCGAGGTAATGGCGATAACAGAAGAGCTCGGAGAAATGGTCCACCGTGAAACCTACTCTGTGATTGAAGCCAAACCAACAAGTGCTGAGAAAATGAGAGCGCTCTATCAGAAGACTCTTCGGTCAGGAGGACAAAAGGTCAAAGCAGCCTTCTTTGACGCCCTGAAAAAACATCATCCCTCCCTAGTGGAGCATCTTGGTAAGATGTTGTTAGTGTTGAAATATGACAAGTCATTGTTAGGGACCAAGCAGTAAGGCACCAGACACAGGAGTCGCTTTAAGGAAAATAAGCAGGTTTTTTTATTTTATCCAAAGAAAGGAGAACAAATTTTAAAAAACAATTAGAGGAAAATTAAGGTGTGAACTCAAAAACCAGACCTTATGTTATAGGTCTCAAGCTGGAGACACATAAACAAATTTCTACACAGGTTCCTGTGTAAACAGGAGAAAGATGAGGACTTTTTGTGCGTCACACTTACACAATGTGATAAAAGGGAACTTACATGAAGGGTTGAAAATGAAGGTTAAGTTAAAGGCTTTATATGTGTTTTTTTGATCCAGCAGATGTCGCCCTTGAGCACCAGCATGAAACCAAAACAACTGGCGCTGCATTGTTGTGTTAGCATGCTAATGCTAGCGATCTTTATTATGCTGGTGTCTTCACACTGCATGTAAATTTACCTGAAATGAGCGTGATCTAGAAACACAGTTAAGCAGTGAGTACAGTATGTTATTCTTCTTTTCTCTAGTCCCTCAATTAAACAACTTTTATACACGAGGGGAGGAGTCAGCCGGCCGTCCCGGCGATGTAAACAAAGTGAAGATAGGACTCTGAAAACTCTGAAAACATCACAGACAGTGGGACTCGGGTGTTACACCCATTGTAGACAGTCATGACTCACAGAGTTATTTTCAGAGGATATACTCATAAAACCTGAATCCCTCCTCCCCCACCCCATGACATCAGAGCCCATGGTCTGCTCCAACGAGCTGGTTCCAGCATAAATAGTTTTGTCTGCCCTTAGTCACGCCTTTTGTTCAAATCTGGAAGTTCCCTCCCCTAACATCCAGGTAACTCAAGATAAAGAAACAACGATTAGTACAACAGGAATGAGTATTTTATCTTACTGTGTATAAATTGTACAAACAGGGTGAGAGTGTGTCAGAGTGATATTATTCCTGTGTGGCTGTGGCCATCGCAGTCATTCAAATTTTAATCTCAATTTGTTCCCTGCAGGTGGCTGATTCTGAAGCAACTGTGGCCTTCGGACATGGACGTGTTCAAATCTTTACCTGCCTCACGTCATCTTTGATGAGTGTATATATATATTTGACAATTTTATTTAAAAAGCCAAGTCAAAAATATTTTTAATTAAAGAAATATTTTAAGAAATAAAGACAGTTCTGTCTCCTGATTTCTATCTTCTTCTTTTTTTTTAACTCAAATAGTAAAAGTGAGCGTTGTTTAGGGATTGTGTCAATTATTACAATTACAATTTTGCAAGGGAGAGCGAGAGAGAGAGAGAGAGAGAGAGAGAGAGAGAGAGAGAGAGAGAGAGGGACGGGGGTAAGAGGCTTTTCTGGTTCAATCCCTCAGTAACTGTCACAAGCAGTCAGTCAGTCACCTGCAGATGATAGTGTCGAGGGCATCGCAGGCGACAAATTACTCTTCTGTCTTCGTTGGACGTTCAGGTTTGATGTTGTTCACTCGTACTGAATATTGGTGCGATCAACAATCCGACAAAAACTGTAAAACTCACAGAAGAAAGAACTGACTTGAGTAAAGTAAAGATTTTCCTTGCATGTGTTACCTCGTTGTTTCTGATTGAAGGAGCTGAACTCTAATATTAGATTTCACCAACAGTATCCTCAACGTGGTATCTGTGAATGTGTGTATATTAGAGGCCATGTTTGTAACACTACTAGAAAGTAATATGCAAACCCTGACCCCAACTTAACCCCTCACCCTAACCCCCAAATACAAACCACTCTTTACTTTTTTTTAAATGAATAACTTACAATATCTATAGCAGTTAAACATTCTGCTCTTCTTCACTTCTCAAACTCTCCTCTTCAACAGCTCCACCTGCCTGTCTCTCTCTCTCTCTCTCTCTCTCTCTCTCTCTCTCTCTCTCTCCTGTCTGTGTCTCGAAGGAGCAAAGCTTTCCACCCAGCAGTATTCTGGGATTTGACCTCAGTCTCATTCACGGCTCTTAGAAAAAAAAGACAACAACAGCCACACACCTCTTCCCCATGGTAATCCTCTGAGGGGGGAAAGTGTGTTCAAGTGTCATCTTGACCTGTCCGTCTCTTCCTTAGTCCTCCTTGCCTCACTCCGCCCCAACACACCCATCTCACCCCACCCCGTCCTGCATTTAATGCCTCCAATCCTCTTTGTGGGAGAGTGACGTCTGCTACTGTCAGAAACAGAGTTAAGCTGAGCAGGCATCGAGAGGGGGGAGACGAAGGGGTGGGGGGGGGGGGGGAAGAGAGGAGCTCCACAGATAAACCAAGCAGCAGCAGCAGCAGCAGCAACAGCAGCAGCAGCTCTGAGTTCTGGGGCCTCCAGGGTGGTTGAAAATCTCTGCCACCTAAGGAAGACCTGGCTCTCCCCTCCCAAGGGGGGTCTACATGTCTGCAGCTTGGGATCACACAGATGTAGGCAGCCCTCTCAACAGGTTGATGTAAAAAAAAACTCTTTGCCAGGGGCCTCAAGGGGCCTTGAAATCTAAGGATGAAAGCCGACAAACTGGAATACAAACTCTCCCCTGGGCCGATGTCTTTGTTTTAAAAGGACTGTTATTGCTGCTTATTTTTTTTCATTTTTCCCGGAACAAATTTTGCCAAATTTGCTTGCAATCTTCCTTTAAAACTGCTGCACCGGCTACAAAACAGATGGCAAGACAGCTTCGTCCCCTGTCAGGTGTGTCTGAGAGGTGTTTGTGTGAGCGAGCGCTCAGAGCATTGGATGTTTATGAGAGCTTATAATTGAACAGCAAAGTCTCAGTGTGTCTGTTGGGAGCAGTTGTTGGAATTGGGTTGTGTGTGTGTGTGTGTGTGTGTGTATGAAACAAATCAGAAGGGACTGAAGTTTGTGTGTGTGTGTGTGTGTGTGTGTGTGTGTGTGTGCGTGTGTGTGGTGGTGTGGCCCACTGGAGTTCGTAGCCCTGGATTTCCTGGAGATGGAGGGTCATGGATATGACCGCTTTGGAGACGGGGAGAGGGACACTTACCAAATTGACTACCGGAGGATCGTGGGGGACATGGAGCCGGCAAGGCCCCGCGTCCCCAACAGAGAAGGCGAGCAGCCTCATCCGTACGGGGCATACGTCCACCCGACGCCACACGGACACGGCCATGAGACTGCCGCCCAGCGGTACAGCGCTACGCGGATCCAAGCGGGATACGAACCAGAGAGGTCAGTCTAAATCTTGGTAACAGTGACGTCATGGCTTTTTTTTCTGATTCACACAGGTGGTCGGGTAAACGTCGCATCTTTAGCAGCAAATGAGATGTTTCCCACTTTCTCCTTGAACCTTTCCAGGTTCATTTATCAGCTACCTGGGCAGCCAACCAAATCCTCTTACCTCCTGGTACTGCCGTCCTAGTTGTAGTTCGCACAGGTTCCTGTCTCATTTCCTGTTTGTAATTGGATCTGACTACAGCATGACTGAAAGAAAGTGGGGTCAAGGAAATGACAAAGACGTCCAAAGCAACAGTCATCTGTTTTTTTCACAGGGGATTAAAACATCTAGAGACCAAACTACTGTGCAATGTTAGGTTTCCAGAACTACACACGATGTGTACCTTTACAGAAAAAACTGATTGATAATTATGTTTTAAGTCAAAAAAATGTCCATTGAAATATTCAGAATTGGGAACTATTATTATTATTATTATTATAAGTATCATCCACTTTTCTGAGCTGTGAAGTTAGTTAACATGGTAACATACAAGTCTAATTCAACACACATTCAACACTGCACCGACCTTCCTACTTTCAAATCACTTATCAAAACTCATCTCTTCAAACAAGCTTTCAATGTATGATTGTGATGTATTTTCTGTTTTCTGTTGTTTTTACCTTTATTGTTGTTATCTTTATGATTTGTGTGTAATGTTGCAATGTCTGTTAGTTTGTCCTTTCTGTTATTTCTGGGTTTTTTTAAACAATTTGTACAGTGTCTTTGACTTTTTGAAAAGCGCTTATGAATAAAATGTATTATTATTATTATTATTATTAATAATAATAAATCTATACTTTTTAGACACTTAAAAAAATACATTTTCTTCCTCTTTTTTTGTTTTAGTGTCATATCTGCATGTGTGTGTTTTTCTGTCTTTTTTAGTATGGCAGACTACTTGATCAGTGGAGGCACAGGTTACGTTCCTGAGGATGGATTAACAGCACAGCAGCTCTTTTCTATCGGCGACGGGCTCACATACAAGTAAGAACAGCTGATAGAAAGACACACAAATACACTGGTACTGACACATGGCATGAGATGTATAAATCGTGTCACACTGAACACATGTATGTATGTATGCATGTGCACGAACACAACCGTGCATTAGCGTTATGCAATGTCTTCCATTAAATGTTTAGCAATATCAGTGATGACACATGTGCCGGGGTTTTATACAGAGGATTATAACGACTAATACTACTTTCAAGGATGACTCTGAGTGGTGTCACAGACATTTAGAACATTGTGTGTGTGTGCACATATCAGTGGGTGTCAGTGTAGTTTTCCTTAATGGAGGCTATATGCGGATTTATCAGTGTGCAGAGAATAGCTGCAGAACCTTTCAGTGTGTTAAGAGGCTGACAGTGTCATCAAAGTTCACTGCTTTAAAGTCATAGATATGCAGTTTGTTACACAATTTAAGCTTTACGGTGATTACTTGTATTAACGATTATTGATTTTTTCTTTTTTATAAATGTAATACTGTTCCACTTCCAAGGCAATTTTTGATGTGTTTTTTCTCTCCTCTCAGTGACTTCCTGATCCTCCCTGGTTTCATAGATTTTATGTCTGATGAGGTGGTGAGTACCAAAAATAGCCACAAACTGTATACTAACATTAATCCTGTCCTAATACTCCTAACAATAATCCACAAGCACAGTCAGGTTTCTGCAGTGGACCAAGTAAAGAATCGCTGACTTTCTTTCTGTTAAGAGTCCTCATCATGGCGCAGCATTGTTTGTTCAGCTTGCTTTGTTTTTGTCTTTGCAAGCTCTGCTGGGACATTAAATTAATTTGGTGCTTAGATCCCATGATTATTGCTGGATAGCAGGAGTTCAAAAACAGACACACACCTGCGTCATAACACACTCAGCAGGTGAATTCAACCAAGTCAGCCTCTAATGTGCCTACACTGACTTTAGCTCAGACCAGCAGAATACATAACACTCTGAAATTTAGAAAATCAAATATGTTGCCTATGTGCAAGAAAAAGTTTACCGGTAATTGAATTAATATTGAAGAAAAAGTTTAAAAAAATGTGCAAAATACTGATTCATCTTTGACTATGAAACTACAGAAAACATGCTGATTTAACATTAAGCAAGTTATTTGTTTGAAAGTAGTATCAGGTAGACATATGTATCAGTTTTAATACACAAATCTTTAAGTCATAATTAGTGTCTGGGCACAAAGGACATGTAAGGATATACTTCAGATTTACTGTCTGTATGTTTCAATTGCTACTTTTTTTTAAAAATAAGTTAAAAAATATTTCTGTTTCTTTTTGCTTTAGGATCTGACCTCTGCACTGACAAAGAAGATAACCCTGAAGACGCCCTGATTTCATCTCCCATGGATACAGTCACAGAGTCTTCCATGGCCATCGCTATGGCGGTGAGTACAAGCTTGAGTATCCTCATGCAAAAGAACTCGGCCTTGTTCACTTTTCAGTGTTGTTGATTTCTTTTTGCTCTATGATTGGCCGGTTTCAGCTGATGGGCGGGATTGGGATAATTCATCATAACTGTACCGCTGAGTTTCAGGCCAATGAGGTGCGCAAAGTAAAGGTAAGATGGACAAAGTAAGCAAAGACATGATGTCAGAACTATACTGGCTGTGACTGCTCAAAATAATCACTTAAATTATATTTTTTTTTTTGTCTGCAGAAATTTGAGCAGGGCTTCATCACAGACCCAGTGGTCATGAGTCCCCGACACACAGTGGGCGATGTGTTCGAGGCAAAGATACACCATGGATTTTCTGGGATCCCTGTTACAGAGACGGGCAAGATGGGTAGCAAGCTGGTCGGCATAGTGACCTCCAGAGACATTGACTTCCTGTCTGAGAAGGACCATGACAGACCCCTGGAGGAGGTGAGCGTTTAATTGACCTGTTAATGAGTATTAGAGCATATATACAATAACAACATAATACTTTATTTTACAAACCTTTACTTTTTATCTCAGGCCATGACAAAAAGGGAGGATTTAGTTGTTGCGCCTGCTGGGGTCACACTAAAAGAAGCTAATGATATACTGCAACGCAGCAAAAAAGGTACGTACAGTATACGTCACACATCATGTAGAGCAAAAAGTAACACACACTTGGACTTCTTTGTGTCTCCTCTCCCTTACTCATTGTACCCTGTGATCTCCTAGGTAAGCTCCCCATAGTGAATGACAGCGATGAGCTGGTTGCCATCATCGCTCGGACCGACTTGAAGAAGAACAGAGATTATCCTCTGGCATCGAAGGACTCCCGCAAACAGCTGCTGTGCGGAGCTGCCATCGGTACAAGGGACGACGACAAATACAGACTGGACCTGCTCATGCAAGCCGGTGTGGACGTGGTCGTGCTGGTAGGTCTGGACGGACGCACGTCCACTCTTGGTTTGATTGGATTTCCAATGTGAGGCACAAAATTATGAGCCTCTTAATAGATGTGGGATGCATAGTGGCTTTGGATCTTTTGATGAAAGTACAATGAATAAGAAATGTTTAATTAACTGATTTATATTTTAAGCCTTTGGAAACCAAGTCCACAAAAGTCTCATAATCATGTATTTTATGAATTGTTGTAAATTAAAACAGTAAGCAGATAAATATGTGAAAATTGGAACAACTGTAATTTCAGTTTTTGAAGCTTTCTGATTCTTAGTTTGAATTGGGCATGGTTAATCTGTGATTAGTAGTATTGACGGACACATTGATTATTGATGCGAGTATGTGTTTGTCCGTGAACGTGGTTATGTATTTCTACCTTAAAGAGTTTAGTGAAAGCTGAAGGAGCTCTCTCTTTCCTGACAGGGAGTTTGGAGGGAGATGAGTTCTGAAATGTTTAACTAATGCTATTGAGCTAGCATGTAGCATTGTATTCATAACTTTGTGAACATACAGTAGCATCTCAGCTAATTTATATGCTAACTTATAACTATGATATGAATGGCTAAACATTTAGTAACTCACCATTCAGTGTCCAGTAGAAATGAATGTCTTTGGATTGCAGGGCTTCTTCTCCCTCATCTGGATGTGTGACTTAGACCCACACAGTCTTCTTAAATTGGTCTACTCAGCAAATTGAGTATTTTTGAGCTACTTTGTCAAAAGAGTTGTGCTTTTTTTTTTCCACTGAGATTTATATTGATGTTTGATGAAACTCTCAGCTTTAAAAATAGATTTTACTATTTCAAGTCACATTTTCCGAGGCTTTAAAATGTAAATCAGCTGTGGATTTCATTCAGTCATTGGTCTCTCATTGAAACTCTTGATAAATTATTTACAGTGTTTGTGTTTATTTTTACAGGATTCCTCCCAAGGAAACTCAGTGTATCAAATCAACATGATAAACTACATCAAACAGAAACATCCTGAACTGCAGGTGGTCGGAGGAAATGGTACGCGACGGGTCCTGTCTCTGAGCAGTCTATTCACCCTTTACCAGTCTCCCACATTGACCTCTTTTCTGTGCGTCTGTCTCTCTCTAGTGGTGACTGCTGCTCAAGCTAAAAACCTCATAGATGCCGGTGTGGATGCACTGAGGGTGGGCATGGGGTGTGGCTCTATCTGTATCACCCAGGAAGGTATGACTGAATAGCAGAGTAAAACTGCTGCTAGTTACACTGGAACTAAGTCAGAAAAAGAGTCTTTCTTGAAATATATGTTTCTTGATTTATATATAAAGTATAGGTTACTTTAAATGTGCTAAACATAAAGCAGAAAACAAAAGGAAACATTGGCTGCTAATACAACATTAAAGTCCCTTGTTGTCCAGTGATGGCGTGCGGACGGCCCCAGGGTACTTCAGTGTACAAGGTTGCAGAGTATGCCCGGCGTTTTGGTGTGCCAGTGATTGCTGATGGAGGTATTCAGACTGTTGGACACGTGGTGAAAGCTCTGGCCCTGGGAGCATCTACAGGTACCAAAATTGCAAGTCTCCTGCTTCTTCAAATATTAAATCATTCATCACTTTAATTTGGATTGCATCGTGCCATTCCAAAAAAGTGAAGAAGCATTGGGCATGATTCAGAGGAATGCAGGGCCCGATGATGGACAGTTCTACTTTTTCATTCCCCTTTGTCTGCCCTTAGTGATGATGGGGTCGTTGCTTGCGGCAACCACTGAAGCTCCTGGAGAATATTTCTTCTCAGATGGAGTGCGTTTGAAAAAGTACAGAGGGATGGGCTCGCTGGATGCCATGGAGAAAAATAATAGCCAGAAACGTTACTTCAGGTGGGGAAGTGAGGCTACAAAGAGGCTTTGCTGTACAGTACACTTTTTGTCAGAAACATATAAACTCATGTTTATATTGTCGTGGTGACTTCTTGTCTAACTCTGTGTTTTTTGTGTGTGATGTGTCCAGTGAGGGAGATAAGGTGAAGGTGGCTCAAGGTGTCTCAGGATCAGTACAAGATAAAGGCTCTATCCATAAATTTGTTCCTTATCTCATTGCTGGTATCCAACATGGCTGTCAGGATATAGGAGCCAAGAGTTTGTCCATTTTAAGGTAAGTGAGTAACCATGTGTGTGTTTGTGTGTTTTCTGTTCCGGCACCACCCAAATCCAACTGTCAGAACTTCACATGCGAGCAGCAGAAAAGGAAAGCAGTCTGCATCACTCAGGACCCTTCACACCCCCTTCACCACTCGTTTCAGCTGCTCCCCGTCAGGCAGTCGTTTTACCACTGGCGAAAAAGGAAACTTACAGAAACTCTTTTATTCCCACTGCAATACGCATTTTAAACAAGGCTAAATAAGCAGTGTTTTGTAAATACTATGCATATATGTTTTTACCTATTCAGGGTACTTTTAGCTATTTATGACCTAATGTGAGTGTTAGTGTGAATGTTTGTATGTTTTCATGTTGAGCCTCAACAAAAGGTAATTTTCTGTCACAATGTGATAGACAATAAAGTTTTTTGAATCTTGAATCTTCTTTTGAATTGTGTGCAGAATTAGTTAGTGTGGATTTTTTTTGTTTACCAGGTCAATGATGTACTCTGGAGAGCTGAAGTTTGAGAAGAGAACCATGTCTGCTCAGATGGAGGGAGGAGTCCACGGCCTCCACTCGTAAGTCACACCCTGACCTTTGGATACTTTATAAATGCAAAGACATTAACCATTCTGTGTCTGAGCTTCTCTTCTATTAAGTCTCTTTTTGCTGTCGAATGGAGAGTAGCATCAAAATTTTCTCTCTCTTGCTCTTTTCTTACCCATGCTATCCCATTAGATATTCTTTTGTGCCATGTAAGTACATCCATGTGGTTATCACATCTCCATCTTCTTCTTCCATTCAGTCATCTCCACCAAAGCTTGCCTTTGTTACCTTCAAATGATCTTACAACGCAGCAAATGTCTATACTGTTGTTCTCCTGTTTTGTCCGTAGTTACGAGAAACGGCTTTACTGAGTCTGGAGGAAGAGGAAACACTCGAGCGGGACCTAACGTCCCGACCCCGGCAGCTCTGAGCAGATGCAGCGGACGCATGTGATCAAACTACAAGAACGACGCTCTCATTGTACTAAATCCACACTCAATAATCTACTTTTTTGTGCCCCCCCCCACCCTTTTTTCATGGTTTTTCTTACCACTAACCACTTCAAAAAGAGCTAAACAACACACTTTACCTTGAGTCTTATCTTGATAGAGGAGCCTCTTGGATTAATAGACGTGACTGCACATGAACTCTTTATCTTTCTGTCTCCCACTGTGTGATCTGTTGATCTCTTCCCCAAAGCAAACACATTTCATTTCCTCCTTATTGGTCATGCTTAATCGCAAAAACAAAGCTTGCAGTGGTGCAGTCCAGAAAATCCATCATTCAGACATTTGAAAACATTTTATTTCTTTGAAAGAGAAAAGAAGGAAACATTTTTAAATTGCAGTCTGCTGAAAGCGGAGCAGACTCCAGAAATGTAATATACTCTAGATCTATATATAGACATACCATTTTCTTGCCGGTAACCTTGTGTATAAAGCTAACTGACCCAGAAGGAAATTTTTAACTATAATACATATAGTGAACTTGTGTTGTTATTATCCTCTCACTGCAACAAGTAAATTGTGTTAAGAACATTCAGTGTCATTTCTCAGACAAGACAACATTTGTTTGTTACCCAAATGGGTTACCTCACCCTGAGCCGATGAGCTATTTGAATGTGCTTCACTGCTGCAGAAGGGACATAAGCTTAGCATCGGCCTTAACTCACGAATACACATTTTTTTAACAAGAAGAGTTTAAAGGAGTTTAAAGGAACCCTTTTTCCACGTTCACCATCTTTGGCATAGAAAATAATAATTTAAAACATTTTTAAGTCTGAAGACATGAGACTTCTAACACTTAACATCTTCAGTTATCTGATTTATTTTCTACATCCTTCCCCTGTTTAAAACACATTGGCTGGAAATGTGATCTTCCATAATTTCATTTTGCAAAATGAAGTTTTAAATGGAATGTACATATACATAGTTTTGTATATTTTCTGGGCTCTATATTAAAAATTGTATTTGTGATTCGTTGAAATAGGGCTAAGAACTCAGTTGAAAGGCCCAAGTTCAATATATATTTCTTTCTGATTTTTAGTCACAATTTTGTCAGTCTTTCATGTGATTTCCTTTTTTTCAATGTCTTTGATTTTACAGTATGTAGCTCTTTGATAAGTTATGGATCTTATGTTGATTTAGCAAAAACCTGGCATATTCTTGTATGCTAACTTGTTGGTTATCAGGCTTACTTTAAAGTTTCCTATAGGGTTTAAATAATTCACAACATACTACTTTATGACCCATTCCAGAAATTGTATTCACTGTAAATAGTGTTGCATGAATAAAGTTATTTTTAATAGGGGTATTTTGATATTGTTCATTACTCATCTTGACATTGTTCTCTAAATACCACTAGAGGGCAGTATACTCAACATTTAACAATACTTCCATTGTTCATCATTTCAAATATACTTTTCCACTAAATGTCTAACCTCAGAAACGACACATTTTTGCAGCCAAGTGGTAAAAAGGTATGTCAAATATTCTGTAACATGATTTTCACATTGTTCACACCACACTGACAATAACAATCTCTACCAATAACAATGTCTGTTCACATGATGCATTATACATTTGACGACTCTGTTGAATTAGGTTTTAACATTACTCCATACATTTGCAACCGGTCAAATTTTTGAGCTCTTGGAACTTTACCAACATTTTTAAAATGTTTATTTTTTGGTCTTTTTATGCCTTTACTCGAGAGAGATAGGAAATAAAGTCAGAAATTGGAGCGAGACAGTGGAGAATGACATGCAGGACAGGAGGCACAGGTTGGATTCAAACCCATGCCGCCCACTTGGAGGATTATAGCCTTATGTGCACTCTAACCACTAGGCTACCGGCGCCCCTACCATACTAAGATTTTAAATTAAAACAGTACAACAGTGAACAAGTAAACCCTTTCTTTAAATACAATAATTTCAAATACAAAAAAGCTTAACAAGTCTGTTATGCAATTATCAAATCTCTTAATTTAAGTTCTTAACACCATTTGAATGCTTTAGTATTATTACACGAGCTAGGTGATGTTTCTGAAAGAAGCGGGATGAAGTCAGACTTCAGATCAAGTTTAGAATACTGTATATACAATAACAACAGTATAATCCTCGTAGAAAATAAGTTGTTCTATTGTGTAAATCATTTTCATTCCCCCTGTCGTTATTTTAAACTGTAAAACTTCATGTACAATTTTGTTTCTCTAACTCACCTATTAGAGTCAGCTACATTTATTTCTGCATGATGCACATCCCAATCACAACTGAACATGTGTATAACTTTTACAATTCAATTGTGTCACTGCACACACTCAGGGCATCGATCTGTTTGCACACATTGACAAACTCTGCCTGTACAGCCAGATCCCATTCCAGCTGTTTGCTCTCACTCATCTTTTTAGTCCCAGCTAGCCGTCCAGACCCTTGACTATCCTGGGAGGCGAGGCTCAGGGTTCGGTAGCGCCTGTGGTAAGAAAGGTGAGGGATTGCTCTGGGGAGGCTGCTCTGAGCAAAGTTTTGACCTCTGTTGGCCCAGGAGTGTGAACGCAACTTCCCTGTCTCTTTTGGTTTGTTGCACAGACCCTGAGTTGAGCCTGAGATGCTCTCCCATTGCTCCGGTGACGTTGGCGACTTGCTGTGAGAGCCGTGTGGTTGGGACGGTCTCGGAAGGGACAGGTTCTCTTGATCAACATCTCCACAGGAAGATGTGCGATACAGGGCATTGTCCGCAGAGCTAGGCCCTTGCTTTGAAATGGCTTGGCTAGGAGAGCTCAAGGAGAGGCTTGATGAAGCTTGGAATAGTCTTGGCATACCAAAGATACTGTGGGAGAACAGGGACTCACTGAACAAAGCCTGGTCAATGCTCCGGGACAAGTTTATGGGAGATGGTGGCCGCAAATCCACAGTGGAGTCAGTCTCCAGTCTGAGGCTATCCATTGAGGATATCTGAGACTCAGCTGCAGGTGTAGGTTTGTGCAGTGGGCTTGGGGGTGTAGGTAGAGGTAATGCAGTGTTATGGATTTGGCTGGCCTTGGGGACACAGTCCAATCCATTCCCAGGTGAATCCACCATTGAGAAAAGGGGAAAAGCCTCTGTGTGTCCTTTGGTGATGACATCACAGACCACCACTTTCTCCTGTTTACCCTGGGACCAGCACTCATCAGAGGAAAGGACGGGGGAATTTGCACCTCCCTCTGAGGGCAGGGTGAATCTTCGTGAAGGGGAGCTGCAGGAGAGGCGTGACCAAGATCCTGGCCGAGGATTGGTTATGCTCTTGAGAGAGGAGTTATTTTGACAGAACAGAGGGTGTGTACCAATGAGAGACAAGCTCAGACACACCCCGATCTCACAGATTCTGCAGCCCACCTGGAAGCCCCACCACGGCCAAGGCTTAAATCCATACCCATCCACCCCTCCGAAACCAAGGCCGTGCAAGATCCCGTAAAGTTGGAGGCCTCCACACCCCAACAAACACAAAGAAGCCCCTAGTCCAGCTCCTGCTGCCCTACCCCAGTCTTCCTCTTTGGCAAAGGGGCAGCTTGCAGGCTGTACCACCTCAGGAGATCCTCCACTCTCTCCATTATCATTCAGCCTGTAGATGTGTTTAGTATCCACTTGTATCAAGCAAAAAAAGATGAGGTAGTAGCATGAGAGAAAGAGGGAGAGACATACAAACACGCCCTGAGGGAAAAGAAGGATCTCATTTGGTAGGCTGCGGAGGAGGTGGAGCATGCCAACACAGCCAAGAGAAACCCCAATGTGCAACAGGGTAATACACAATAACAGGCAAGGTTTGGGTACAATGGAGAACGAGGTGGAAAAAGCCAGTGGGAGTGAGAGGTGCTTGCGTGAGCAAAAGGAAAGGAGGAAGAATGCCAGGGTGAAGGCTGATATCAAACAGGGGAAGAGCAGCTCAGACAGCAGAAGAGAGACCAAAGGAGGAAGACGATCTTGGTGATTGTAAGCATCGTAGAGCAAACAGAAAGCTTGGATCCCGCAAAAGACAAGAGGAACAAGTGGAGCAAGGTGAAGTAGGGACCACCTGGGGGACACCGCAAGGGCAGGCCTAGCAGGCAGACCACAGAGATCAGTCCGAATACTGTGAACACAGCCCCGAGGCCATAAATGTGTGCTTCCCACGCAAACCCCCATGTGGCGAGGGCAGAGTTCCAGTCCGAGTACAGAGGGACGAAAAGGGTAGAGGTGAGAGCAAGAGAGTGGCGCAGAAACTCGTTGGGAATAACATCTTCAGGGTAGGTTGGAGTCAGGGCCTGACTGGATGTTTTGCAGGGTGTAGCAGTTGTGTCCATGTTGCCATCGAGCAACAGTGTTCCAACGGTCGTCGAGACATCGTCCTTTTGCTCATCTGAAAAGTAAGTACAATAAATAAAATATTAGTAATCTATATGTTGTGTCAAAGAAGACCAAAGGTATACAAGATTTGAAGACACAATTAATGTATGGCTTTGAGCTGGAAAATGGAGACACACTAAAATGATGTGTAAAATATTTTGAACATTACCTGCTGGGCATCAGGGAATTAGCTTTTATCCTTATAAACATGTTAGCATTTAGCTGTTAGCATTTAGCCTGAAACCCAGCCTCACTTTGCTGTATGTATGGCTGTGTACTCTAAATACTAGCAATTTTTATGAAGATGACATTTGTTTATGTATAACATAAAGACAATTTAAGTTCTTATTGTCTGAAAAGAGAAGAGAGAGAGTGTGCAATGTGTGATGGTAATCCATAATAAAACAGAGCAGGCATGTTAATGGGAATGTCTAACTGGGTCAGAGAGAGAGAGAGAGAGAGAGCGAGCGTGAGCATGAGTACATAGAGTGTGTGTGTGCGTGTATGTGCTCATGAAAAAGAGAGTGACGATTAGCCAGTATTGACCTCGTTGCTGTTCTCATTTTGTGTGGCTATTATTAAGCACGATGGAGAGGTGTTATTGTTATGTTACTCAATTAAGGTTGCTTCCTTCCAATTAAGATAAGCAGAGGTGTTTTGCGTTCATATCTGACTCGGATTGTGTAACCAATGAATAATGAAGGCATCTCATTCTCGAGTGGAATACGTTCAGAGTCAGCTGTATGGAGTCAACAGAATCGGGGAAGCTAGTTATGAATAGACTATGTCCTACTTCTGCTCGTGCACTGGTATTGAAGTGAATGTGTCATCGCAGAAAAAACAGACAGACCTTTTAAAGAGGGGATTTCACTGTGTCCTGAATAAACAGCTTGAATTGCTGGTTCCTCATTTGACACAGGTAAAACAGTTTGGTGAAGTTACCCAACAAACATGCTGGTTTTAAATGCAAAGGTAACTCGACAAAGGGAAACTTGACACAGTTCTGCCAAAACATTCCGACCCCCACTGCTTGTTGAACAACACATCATTTACTTTGGCAAGTACGCATCTTGTTTTGAGTCTGTGTGTGTAAAAAGCAAATACTGAATTTGTAATAACCTTTGGATGTACATTTGTATTAAAATTTAATCGAACAAACTTAAAAAATCTAAACAGCAGACGGTGTTGTGGGATATTAAGGGAAATCTTTTCGAAGGAAGGGAAAGGCTTTTGGGAGTGAAGCCAAGAGTAGACTTCATGTAAAAACGAGTGTCTCTGCCATCAGAATACATATTACATACACGCAGTCACACAACGGCATCGAGTCTTGTGAATTATTTTTGGTATTTAAATAGGAAACTATAAATCCTATCATTCACAATCTCCAGTAAGAAACAACTGTTAACTGTGAATTATATTAAATGCATCGAAGGAAGGATTATTAGCTTTATGAAGGAAGGAAGGATTATTACCTTCAGTTGCCTCTGTTCTGACAGCTCCTTTTTGTAAAGTTTGTTCTGTGACATTAATCAACCCGGCTCCGACCTCTTTTAATGATACAGTTCCCTCTTTTGTCTGTCCAGCTGTGACATCAGAAGGATGTGTGATCCATCCCTGTATACCAGTGGCTACTTGTGGAGTAGAGGGTTCAGGACTGGGCCCAGGTCCAACAGCTGGAGCTGAAGTGAAGTCATAGTCTGATGGAATAGAGCCAAACAGGAGGAAATGTAACTGTCTGATTGACTCTTCTTTCTGTGAAGATGCAAAAGAACGTATTCCAGATTCAGTACTGGTCTCAGCTGGCAGAAACTTTAATGATGATCTTATTGGTTTTGTTCTTTCCCTCAAGGCGGCTTCTTCTGTAGCGCTCTCTGTTGGTGTAGATCTGACACGTTCCTTCTCATCAGGGTACAAATAAGATGGCTCTGTGCTGTCCTGTACGTCAGTGTATTCACCAATCACTCCTTGTCTATCAAACTCCTCAGACGACGACGACCAACTCAAAGGTCGACCCAGGACGTCTACATTCTCATTTCCAATCGCGAGATCCCCTGGCGTCGAATCATGTCCATGAGGTCTCTGTGGGGACCGTGCGAGACCAAGACCTGCTGTGTCGGTGTCAAGCCGCTCTGCTTCTGAGGCGATCCCTTGAGGAAATGCGATGACATGAAGAGTCAGGTGAGGTGAGGGCAAGGAGAGAAGAAGATAAAGATGCCACAGTGAGAGCATGGTGAGGGATGTGCCGACTCCACCACAAAGTCACATGACGTAGGTTTTGAGGGGTATTGTCCAATCACATGTTTGATGGATCTCTACCCTCAGGTACTTTTTTGGATATCATGCTTCACACACAACCTGGAGAAGAAAGACGGGCAAATCAGATTCAAGACACAATCAGTGCAGCAACTCAACCTATATGCATATCGCTAGGATGTCATCACTAGATCGCTTGAATCCCTGCTTGTCAATTGCAAATACTTTGTATGCAAAGTGTTCAGTTGAGGTTGTTAAACACACTCACTACATGAATCCCTACAATGAATTTTAACATCAGAATGAAAACATACATTCACAACAACAACAACAGAGAAGAGACGTCGAGTATACAACTGCTTTCTTTGAGCACGTCTTGTTTCAGCTTCTTACCTCATCAGTAGCCCACTCTGCTGCAGCCTCTTTAAACATACATGGTGCTCTCTGTGTCGCTGCATGCCTGCAGTCTGTCTCTCTCTCTCTCTCTTTCTCTATTTCAGCGTAGCACTCTGTGTCCTTTCATACTCGCTGTGCAGTGCCCCTCTTCTCTCCATCAGACAGTCGTCGGCACATGGGACAGACCCCACCTCCTCGACACCAAAACCCCTGCTGTCCTGTGCTCTGCCGCTGCATTTGGTCTGACAGGGAGGTTTTGACTGTTTGCACAATCCCAATCTCTTGCATCTGTAAGGCTTCGTTCACACCGCACTCAGTATCATCTCTTGTTTAATGCATATAGTAACTGTACTGCTGCTTCTGCCATACCCACATACATTCACTCTGCTGTATTATACACAGTGTATGATGTTAGGTAAAAAATGTAAAAAAAATTCAAAGCAGAGATAAGAACAAAAAGAAAATGAGAGAAAAAAAGGAAACAAGGCATGAATATGTTGTAAGGGCAAAAGTCTGCTTATCAAACAACAGACAGGCTGTCAACCAGCCAGTGCAACAGATCAATACATGCTAGCTTAATTTACGACTGATGCCGTGCCCTTCCCAACCACTGCATTAACAACTCTGTTTGAAACCATCCCCATCAGTAGATGAAGATGAAAATCCTTTATGAATAATAGAAGGATTTGTGGTTACTTGTGTGCATTTATAGGATTCCTCTGAACCAACCGGCTGCTCTTTTCTTTTAAAACAAAGACTTGCTATCCAAATAGGCTCAAATGACAAACTCGTGACCTTGTTTATATGTCAGTTATTGCGGTGTGAGTGTTTAATGTAAATTGACTCACTTTTATGGTGCTATTTAACTTGCTTTATCGCTCTCTTTTTTTTTTTTTTTACGTTATCCGCCTTGTCCACGTGTGCTGTTTCAACCCAATGGGGGGAAATCCAGTAGCCTCATGGCCTAATTCAATTCCCAAGGATAGTTCTAAAATAGACACTGATCCACATACCTTTTGGATGCATTTAGAGTCAGGGAGAAGCACAGTTACACTCATATGCTTGTCTGTCTTTGGCTGAAGTTCTGATGTGACGTTTTCCACTGACCATTGCTGAATTAGCAGGAAACAGGATTTATCAAGTCAGATTTGTTGTTGTTAAATGCACTGATTATTTTTCTATTAAAAAAAGAAATGATAAAGATGTGTCCAACTGTATCCCAAACAAATCTGCCAAGTCAATATTTACTGAAAAAACGTTAAGGCCAGCTCTGCACAAATGTTCCTGGCTGCAAAAACAAAATCCTCCGCCAGCAAAGAAGAGACCAGTTAACCATCTCTTCATTTCAGATTGTCTTTACACATGCCTCTGCCTTGCAGGTTAAGAAACGTCATGTGCTCATAAGACTGCGATTGTTTCAGCAAAGATTGAAAGACAGTAGTGAAGATAAGAACTTCCCTGGCTGGGGGTGTGGTTAACCCGCTGCCCTGATGAGGACACAGGAAACCACCAACCCATCCGTAACTAAAGGGACTTGGATAGAGACAATGACAGGCCAAACATATGATCTCAGAGAGGGACGTGGCCAAATTATTACCGCCTCACACTTGCTATTATGATTCATTGAGCGAATGGTTGCTGTTTGGACAAGTCATCCCCTAGCAAGACAAAGTCAGCAGGGACAGTGGTGGTCCAGCTGGGGATGAGGAGTCAGGGCAAGACACAGAAACAAAGCTGCACAAGCAAGAGAAGGGGGAGAAGAAGGCTAGACCATAGTTACATAGACCTAAACTCTTTATATACAGTGCTACAAGAAGGGGAATGCATAGCAAGCATTTTACAACATTGATGTTTTGGTTATTAGAGTTTTTGTTAAACACATTAAAACCATTTTTTACCTAATTTTCAATACATTATTCCCAAATTCGGTGTGACTTTAAGGGGTTAAAGGGGTAACACAAACATTAAAAAACACACCCAAGGTCAAAAATACAAATGTATGACTTTGTATATAATGTGGAAAGAATGGAAACTCTTATGAATTGTGGGGAAATAAAGTTTACACAATAGTGAAGACATGACCGTCGTAGTGACCGTGCTAACTGGGCTTGCTTATAGAGTTACTGGGATATAAAGATTTGCTATGTCAGTGAACATGTAGGTGCATGTGTCAGGACCATTGTGCCATGCTTAAACTTTGTCATTAAGGTAATTTTTTTTCAAATCAACTTGATGTCTATTTTAGCTGAAGAAACACAGGCATATTGCTGCAATAATTATCTATTTATAAATATATCTGAAATATTGTGTAGCCCACTTACACTGACACTATGCAGTTTAACAAGAATCTATTCATATTATTTATTCTATCTTTTTAGTGTTTAAAATTTAAGCTCCTGTAAATGGTTTTTAGTTGGTTATGAAACACACAGGGAGAGATATTTATGCTTCAACAAGAGCTGACAAAAGCAAATGTGACCGTCAGCAAAACGATTGATTATTTCTATTAGGCTATTTTTAATGCCTGTAACCTCTGCCACCAGGGCAGTGTGAGTGAGTGTTACTTCTGACTGTTTAAAGGAAACAGTGAGACATTTTTCGCCAGGGCAAAATGATTTGATCTGTAGTGTTTCTTATCTATGAGAGAGGAAAAAAAGAGTTTGTAAATCCATTCACACAGTTGATACATTTGCACACATCTGTGGCCACATTTTCCTAGCTGAGCGCAACAATGTTTTGCAAACTGTGCGCACTTTAATGTGCATGGAAGCGGAACCTTTTCAGATCTGTCACAGCCTACAAATATGTGGGCAAGGATTATAAAACATGCGCATGGTTCTCTAAACTGTAAAAAATGGAATTAAAAACGACTGTTTAATTTCTTCTGACCTCGAAGGTGCTCCTTACTTCGATAAAACGTCCTGGCAACAATCCACTCCACTACATTACAGCAGACATTACGCATGACAAGGATGAGACTGTTGCTTTTTCTTTAAGTTTTCCTTCAGGGATGAAGCTTTGTTTTAACAGGTGAAAAGGGTTTATTGTCGTGTGGTGGTTAATTAAAATGAATACATTAATATTCTCATTACTTTAACTGAACACAGTGTTTGTTATCCTGAACGTGTAATGTCAATGGTCAGAATTTGTGCAGGACTGGATGACACATAGGCCTACAAAACAAAATCTGCCTGTCTTGTGTCTTTGTAAAAATTGGCTAACTTTGACTTAAGTCATCTAATTTAAGGTGACTTTTACTTTCAGCAAAGTAATTGTAAAGTGTTACTTTTAAGTAACTTTTACTCAAGGATGTTTTTAAGATAAGATATAATCCTTTATTTATCCCACAACAGTGTTAGAGCAGCAAAGAGCAAAGATTGCAAACAAAAAGTGAACACAGTACACAATTTAAATAAAAAAAGAAAAATTAAAAATGTACAAAAAATAGATAGATACCACAATATAGATTTTTAAAAATAGATTTTTAAAAATAGATCAGCTGAGAGCTGCAGTTTTGACAAAACTGTAGTCAGAATATTCAGTGTAACAAAGTGGTTTGGTAAACATAATATAACATTATCATTTCAAGTATTTTTCCAACACTGATTAGGAAGACTTTTATGAGTGACAAAAAATGACTAAAGTATACATAAATGAATAAATAAATAAATAAATGTTGGGAGAAATGCATACAATAATGTATAAATAAATAAATAATTAAACAAATGCATCAATAAATATATAGATAAATATATTCATATATTTATTTATGTATTTCTGTGTCCATGTTGTACAAGGAAAAGTAAATATGTAAATTAAGTGGGCCGTCCTAACATTACTGAAGTAGGATTGGTCAATTTTGAAAAACAGACAGAAGCAAATTTACATAAATACTTTTCCTCTTACGACCTGGACGCAGAAATAAATAGATGTGTAAATGTAAAAATACGGAAATAAATTAATAACTCAATTAATGTGGAAATGTATGCATTGATACATATATAACTGTAGAAATACGCTAATAAATGAATAAATACATGTACAAATATATGAATAGCCTTTTTCATTAATAAAGTGTATTTATATTTATTCAGTGAAGTATTGTTTTCAGCATTTATATATTTATTGATGCATTTATTTAATTATTTATTTATTTATACATTATTGTATGCACTTCTCCCAACATTTATTAATTAATTAATTAATTAATTAATTTATACTTTAGTCATTTTTTGTCCCTCAGACTTTGGCTGCATTAGTAAATAGGAATTCAGTTTATTCGCTGCACAGTGAAGAGAAGTTTTTTTTAGCAACTCCCTTGCACAAACATCTGTTGCAAAATATTCCACATCTGTGTTTACAAGATTAGATAGACAGGTGAGGTACAAAGTCTGTTCCCAGTGTGATGAAACAGTCACCTTGCTTCACCTTATTATCTCTGCCTTGGTTGGTGTTAGGTTCAGGGTTCAGGTTAGGATTGTTTGCGTGCAGGTCACATGGATTTCCGAAGGAGGGCAGCAGCTCGCCTGAGATACCCCTGACAGTCAACTGAGGACGACCCACTCCTCCTCAGAAGAAGAAGGAGGAGACGCGGAAGCTGGAAAACAAACCACACTGGTCGATGTGTTTACACCTAATATTTACAGTCTATGGTTTCTCAACACTGGAACAACACCCACTTGTCAGATGACTTGTCCTTCGTTTACTAACCTTTCTTCTTCTGGGCTCTGAATGAGTTTAGAGCATCACTGGGACAGGTAGGTCAAGGCATGTTATGCGACGACTGTGAGTGTTTTGTCAATGTGTTTTCGTGATGTTGCCAGATAGTTTTAGTGTTTACTTCGGTATATTTTCTAACTCTTGAATGACTGTTTTCTGCAGACACTCCCATCGATCAGTCGACTGGAAAGACCAAACGCCACCATGTTGGGGAGGCTCGGCCTGAGCAGAGGCATTACAGCCCTGACACTCAGTAAGAATGCCACTTTGTACATGAAGGAGTTGACACCTCCAGTCTCAGGGTGTAAGATCCAAACCTCTGAACAACAGAAACCTCTCATGGTGATGTTACCGTGGTTGGGATCTCGACCCCAAGCTGTGGCCAAGTACTGTGAAATCTACTTCAACACCGGCTTCGATGTGCTTGTAGTGGAGAGTGAGGTAAGGTCAACATGAATCACTGATAACATCAAAAAAACATTTAAGCTCATGTTAGTTTGTATCACAAACATGTTTTGACTTTAAGGGGTTAAATCAGAGAGAGAGAGAGAGAGAGAGAGAGAGAGAGAGAGAGAGAGAGAGAGAGAGAGAGAGAGAGAGAGAGAGAGAGAGAGAGAGAGAGAGAGAGAGAGAGAGAGAGAGAGAGAGAGTTATTGTGTGAGGCAGATATTTACGGTGGCTGGGAAGTGCAAAGCAAAATTACAAATGCTAGACAAATTTACATTTTGAAAAACATTTTTAGAAAACAAAATTACAAAACCAAAAACACTTATACCAAGGAAAAAAACACATTTACATTTTTTTAAAAAACATTTACAAACGACAGAATCTTGACAAAATGGGAACGTACCAAATGTCGGAAGTGACCCGGAAGTGAGGGGGTCATTTTGTTTCTTTTGTTTTGTCGCGGTGCGTTCCCTTTCCGTCAAGATTTTGTAATTTGTAGATTTGTTTGGTTGGACTGGTTTTGCCTCTTTTGTAGATTTGTCTCAGCGATTGTAAAAGTGTTTCACATCTTGTAATTTGTTTTGTCCTCGTTAAGCGTTTTTGGTTTTGTAATTTTGTTTCATAAAATGTAAAAATGTTTTTGCACATTTTGTTAAAGTGTTTGACACTTTGTAATTTTGCTTTGCACTTCCCAGCCACCGTAGATATTCCCTAAAATAGTGCAACATCAAGAGTGGCAGATAGTTATTAATGTATAAATCTCTTCTGATTCTTATTGTTTTTATATTTTAAGTCCTTATTTCTGTATCTATTCTTATATTGTTTTATTTGCTCTGATAACCTGCAGCTGTAACACCACAATTTTCCAGTTTGGGATCAATAAAGTAATTCTATTCTATTCTATTAGCAAAAACAAATAATAAACCTCAGAGAACCATTGAAATAAGAGTTGGTTCAGAGTTCAAAGATTCAAGATTCACTTTATTGTCTCACATTGTCTTGGGCTCTTCACCCACGCTGCAGCCATAAAAACAAGTTGCTTATTTACAAGCCGATCAATAAATCTAGGAAATTATCTTTTTGCTATAACATTTATTAATTTAACTCCCCCCAACCTTCCAGTACCAAGGGTCAGGTTAGCAGAGAGTTGAAAAGACTCCATCCCAGGATGCTTTGGATTTCCCCTCGGGATCACTAAAGTATCCGTCTGTCTAAAGTCTTACAGGACACCTGAGGCAACTGATAATAGAAGGGTTGTTGTTGGATTTTTTCACTTTATGATCAGTCCACTAAGTAGATGAAGATTTCTTGGATCAGTTTACAAATTGCATTTTTGTATCTCCACTATTGTTTTCATCCCAATTTGAATTTAGGCTGCGACAGATGTGTGATGATGTAGTGATACAGGGGCAAAGTGCAAGGCTCAATGTGTCCCAGTTCTGTGCAGACAGCATGTGAAGCATTCACTTTGTACGGGCAGCTACAGTTCATGCTGTAGTTTAAGATCTTGATGTTTATTTCCTTATTTCATTCTCTGAAAAAATCAACATCTTTGTCTAAAGGTTTATCATGTGATCAGCAGTGTCTGCTTGTTTTTTTTTTTCACACCAGGTGAAAGATTTCCTTTGGCCTCGCTTGGGTCTGGACCACGGAAAGAGGTTGCTGGATTTGCTCCACAGTGAACACTTTGTCTCCCGCCCTCTGCTCGTCCATGCCTTCTCTATAGGTGGATACACGTTTACTCAGCTGCTGGTAAATATGTCCCGGGACTCAGAGAAATATCAGGCACTCTCAAAAAGGATCAAGGGGCAAGTTTATGACAGCTTGGTGGTGGGCTCTGTCGAGAGAATGGCTACAGGTGGGTTTAATTTGAACATAATCAACATTCTTATATTCCTCATATCAGATTCACATTTACATTTTGAATGATACAGGTATGATTGTGAGTGTGTTTTTATCTCCTCTGCACAGGTCTGGGCAAAACGTTGTTCCCTAGTTTGGAGATGCTGGTAAAACGAGTAAGCTTGTTTTACTTCAGCTTGTTCAAACACCAAACCATAGACTACTATAATGCCGGGATTGAAGCGTTTTGGGCTACGCCCGTCACAGCACCTGCACTCTTCTTCTACTGCGAGAATGATGCATTGAGCGACCCACAGGTCATGGAGGAGTTGATAGACCACCTGCGGAAGCGCGGCATGGACATTACAGCAAAGAAATGGGCAGATTCAACACACGCCGGCCACCTGAAGAGGCACAAAAACGAGTATCTGACCACCCTCAACATGTTTCTGAACTCACTCCACTTTGCCCCACTGAAGGCCAAATTGTAAGGGCGATTTCTTTGAAGCCAAATCGCATAGAAACTAAAGATTATTTTTGTTGTGTGTTTTTATCTCTAAGCAAGCATGTGTTGTATTACTGTAGAAGCAAATATTAACTCTGGGATAATGTTTTACTTGAATATTACACTAATTCACTTACTGAGCGTACTACCAGTCAGTGCCTGTCAAAAAATACTTTTAATACTATACTACTAGTATATAAAAATACTCTTGTACTCTTTGACAAAGAAAACACAGGTCTTCTTAGCATTCTTAAAAGAAGTGCTCTGAGGTTCTCCACTCCACAGCCTCATGGTGTGTAATGATTTTATTTAAAACTTTAGGTTATTACAGTTTACAAGGTCGATACTCTTGGAAGTTTCAACATGTGTCTTTTCAAAAGAAAGGGACGCTTGTCTCCGTGTTCCTTTGTCAGATGACAATGTAATGTTTGTTTCATGATGTGCCTTCCTTCTAGTCTCATTCTTGAAATATGCAACCTTCATAAAGCTGCAAATCAAAATGTGAAAGTTTACATTCCTTTAACAACCATTGCATATTCTAATTGTTAACTTTATTTTAAAGAATATTTTGAGTATACAGCCTGGAAAGGACCATTGAGAACTCATGATTATTAAGTATAATGTAAATCCTATACTACCTTTTTCTGATGTGTTTGTTGTTCAGTGTATTTAACATGCCTATAGAGATTGTATGTGCGACCTGATGCCTTGAATTTCACACAAGCTGTACTTTTCCATTGAAGTAGTCTAGAAGGAAGAAAATAAATGTAAGCAAACAGAAAACTAGTCAGACCAGTTTTGACTCGACCCTTTTGAATGACTCTTCAAACAACGTAGCAGATTAACTCCCATCTGTTTAACTACCACGCTTTAAAAAAACAAACTTAAACAATATATACATTTTTTTTGTATTATGCCTGTTACATACAATGTTTTGTTAAGAAATCATCCAGCAGTGTATGTTGTTTGGAAATAAAATTGTAAGGAATCTTCCTCTATTCCGAAATGATTTTATTTCTCCTTTTTTATTATTATTATTTTTTTATTTTGTATTATTATTGTTATTTTATTTATTTTCTCCTTATTCCTATAACGATCGATACTATATTACCTACTGCATACACGAGTTAATAAAAAGCTCTATTAGAAGGCTCTGGTTGTAATGTACATTACATGCAGCACCTGCCTGGGGAAGACACTGGATAAATGCTATGGTTCAGTTCCTAACGCACACAGATCTGTTGCTCTCCCCCCTCTTGGCTCTGCTGACCACCATGCCGTCCTGCTTGCTCCAGCATATACTCCTGTAATAAAGAGGGTTAAGAAAGTTGTTAAAACATCAAGCAGTGGACCAACGAAAGCATTCTTACACTACAAGGATGCTTTGAATCCACTGACTGGGATAACCTCTTGACCATCTCCAACAACAGTAATGAGCATGTGGACACTGTTTCATCGTACATCTCCTTCTGTGTGGACAACATCATCCCCTCCAAAACAGTCACGATCTACCCCAACAATAAACCTTGGATCACCAAAGAGCTCAAGGAGGTCCTCAACAAGAAGAAAAGGGTCTTCTTCACCGGCTCTGAAATGGAGAAAAAGGAGGTAAACAGAGAAGTCAAGCACGCCATAAAAACTGCCAAGCTCAAGTACGAGAACAAAGTGGAGGAAAAATTCACACAGGGGAACCTCCGCACAGCTTGGCAGGGCCTCAGAAACATGGCTGCTGTGAACACTGCTGCTACCAACATCAAAACCATCGAGGTTGCAGACAGCAGCTCTACTTCTCTCCTCAACGATCTCAACTCATTCTACACCAGATTTGAGAAGGACAACACCACACAGCTGGAAGGAACAGTGTCCATGCTCAAGCCCAGTGACTCTGCACTCACCTTCAGCAGAGAGGATGTGGTGAGAGCCCTCAGGAGGACAAGGGAGAGCAGCTCACCTGGTCCAGACAACATCAGTGACCGCATCCTGAAGCACTGTGCCGAGCAGCTAGGGGGCGTGTTTCAGACCCTGTTCCAGAGCTCTGTGGACAGCAGCACAGCTGTGGAAACACTCCACAGTTATCCCCATCCCCAACAATTTGCTTATCGTGCAGGCAGAGGTGTCGATGATGCAAAAACATTCATAATAGACACTGTTCAAAAACACCTGGAGCACCCCAACACCTCGGCCAGACTCCTGTTTGCAGACTTCTCCTCTGCATTCAACACCCTGCAGCCTCACATCCTGGCTGACAAACTTTCAACTTGCTTCCATCTGAACGACCAGCTCATCCTGTGGATATTGGACTTTGTGACCAACAGATCACAGAGAGTTCTGGTCAACAACACCTTCTCCAACCTCCAACACACCTCAACTGGCTCCCCTCAGGGCTGCGTGCTCTCACCTCTGCTCTTCATCCTCTACACCGGTGACTGCAGAACCCCACAGCCAAACTGTCACCTGGTGAAGTACGCAGACGACACAGTTCTCCTGTCTCTGCTGTCAGGCCCCTCTCAGCACCATGGACCAGTTCTTCAGGAGTGTGTGGAGTGGTGTGACAGCTCCTGCCCCGAACTGAACGTGAGCAAGACCAAAGACATGGTGGTGACCTTCTCCAACAAGCAGAGGGAACTGGCTGCATCAGCAATCACCACAATCCATGGGAATCCTGTCGAACTAGTAGAGGAGTATAAGTACCTGGGTACCATCTTCGACATCCTGCTGAAATTCTCCTCCAACACCGAGGAGATTCTCAGGAAATGTCAGCAGCGAAAATACCTCCTAAGGAAGCTCAATTCCTTTGGAGTCAGTAAGAACATTCTTCTGACCTTCTACTACTCCTTCATTGAGAGCATTATTACTTTTTCTATAACCTGCTGGTTCCACTCCACCACCCTCCAGAACAGAAAGCGCCTGCAGAGCACGGTCACAGTCTGCTCTAAGATCATTGGACTACCTGTAAGGACTTTGACATCCATCTATGAGCAACAGACAATCAGGCTAGCAGGTGGGATCATGCAGGACCCCTCACACGCTCTCTTCCCAGCGTTTGAGTGGCTCCCCTCAGGACGCCGGCTTCGCTGTCCCTGCTGCAGGACACAGAGGAGAAGAGCAACCTTCGTTCCCAGGGCTGTCCAGCTCCTCAACTCCTAAGGAGACACCAACACCTCTCACCCAATGCAGACTCTCAGCTGTGAACTTCCTTTATATTGCCATACACCTTAACTGCCTCTGCTTTATCTGGTCTCATGCACTACATCACTTTATTCTATCCATTTTATATCAGTATTCATACAGTTCTGGTTAATTTATTCCTGTTGTTTCTTATCCATCATTACACTACGGTCACTTTATTTATCTAATTTTTACCTTACAGTTATATTGTATACATTAGTTCTGTTGTTCCATTATTCACCTTATAACTTATCATTTAGTATTTAGCCTACTTGCACATAGCTCTGTATATATATATATTTATTTCTCGTTTACTGCACATAGTTCTGTTTACATCTGTTAGTCCGATCACTGTCCACTTATATCTACTCTTTTTATATTTTGTATTTTTAAGTTAAGTTTAAGCTTTAAGTTGTATTTAAATTGACACTTTATATTTAGGTTAAAATGTTTTGTTTACTTGCACTGTTGTTAATTTACTGCTCTGTGTGCCTTTGAATTGCCCCCTGGGGACAAATAAAGTTTTTCTTTAATTGAATTGATGTAATAAACCTCCGAGCCAGGCGGCGGCATGTACGGCTTTCACCGAGTAAACCGGAAGTGCTGCGTGACGCCACTTCCCGTTCCGTTTCGAAGATGGCAGCCCACTGATGTAAACATGCGTGCTGCTTATCCACAAGCCAAGAGGAGTTAGAAAAATTAAAACTTGTGGCATGTTTTCTACTTACGGTGTCGTGTGGTAGTTTTTAATTTGTCGTTCAGTTCCAGCGAATGATTAATAAACCATCACGGTTCCTCTTTAGTTTGAGTTTATTTAGTTTGAGGTGATTTTACAGCCATGCCTGCTCAGACCATCTTCGTGAAGTCTTTACCAGCTTCAGCTTCAAATGAACGCCTGGAGGAAATCTTCTCAGAAATAGGTCCAGTAAAGCAATGCTTCGTGGTCAGAGAGAAAGGTAATATATCCACACTTTATATTAAAAAAAAATAATAATTACAAACAAAAAAAAGAAAACGAGAAACATGCATGCTGGTTTATATTTATTATTTATTGATTTTGAGTCTGTTAACGCTGACAACACAAAACTTTCCACTCGCAGTACAACAACAACAACAAAAAAACAAAAGAAATTAAAAACTGTATTTCCATTTGATGTGCAGGGACGGAGAAATGTCGCGGGTTTGGTTTTGTCACATATTCTATGGAGGAGGATGCTCAGCGAGCCATGAAGGAAATCAAAGACTACGAGGGACAGAGGCTTTCTCTTTCAGTCGCCAAAAGGAAAATAACCGACAGAGAAAAGAGAAAAGCAGGTGTGTAATCATACCTGTAAGGTCAGTATCCGGGACATCCAGCTCTTACATGCTTGATGACTTTACTTGTGCGTTTCTCTCAGCAGCCAAAGAACAACCAGCTCCTCCTCCTCCTCCTCCTCCAGCTAAAGACAACGAGCAGAAATTAAAAGGCTTCAGGAAAACCAGTCTGAAGTCCAGACTCATCATAAGGAACCTGAGTTTTAAGGTACAGTGTGTGGCTTTGTTTTGAAATGCAACTACTGAAAAGAAAACACAAGTCACATCTCTAAATCTGAATTACATCTCTGCTGTACTTTTTTCTTAGTCTTGTACATATTAGTCTTTTCTTATTATGTTTATTGTTGATATTTAATGTTGTACCTGTACATAAGAGAGCACAGTTCACTGAAGTTAAATTACGTGAGTGAGTGAGAGAGAGAGAGAGAGAGAGAGAGGTGGGATAAGAGACGTCCGCACCTCTGCTCTCCGGTGGAGAAACAGAAACAGCACCGCGGGGATAAAAATAGCTAAAGAGCGGTCATCATCCAGCCCAGCAAGCAGCAGGGCTGTGTGTGTGTGTGTGTGTGTGTGTGTGTGTGTGTGTGTGCGCGTGCGTGCATACCTGGACAATAAATCTGATTCTGACATTTCTGTTTTTTTTTAAATTCAGTGCTCAGAAGACGACCTGAAGCAAGTTTTTTCCAAGTTTGGAACCGTTCTTGAGTCAAAAATTCCCCTCAAACCTGGTAAAAAAGTTTAATTCTTACATAAAAACATTAAGCATTTTTGTATGGTTCATGAGTAAGTTAAAGGCAGAGTCAGTAGTGTTGTTCATTGCAGCTTGTAAACACAACATTCAAACTGGGGAACCTCCTCCTGGGCTCACTCGCTGCAGGACTTTGTCTTGTATGTTTTTACTGTTTGTACCTACACTGCAATCGAGCTGCCGAAGGCGAGCACAAGCTAACCATCTGTGTTTTGCTGGATCTCACCTGCCATTGGCCGGGGGAAAGCACGCCAGCTCCCCCTGCCCAGAAACGTCCCGTGTCCACCAAAAACAAAAACATCCAAATCCAGATTCTCTGCAGACACAGTCACCACCACACCTGTACGGTGGCCCATAAGTGACGAGCGGCATTCCTTTTGTACTTCTACTATGGTGTTGATGTTTTTTGTTCTCTGTCTTGAACAGATGGGAAGATGCGAGGTTTTGCGTTTGTCCTTTTTAAAAATGTGTGCGAGGCCTCAAGAGCGCTTAATGCTCTGAACCTCAAGGAGATCAAAGGTAAGTTAAACACTCTGAATATCTCAATCTGAGAAGTTAACTTTATTTAATAATCCGTGCATGTTAAGGAAAGCTAATTTCTTAAAGCAGTCAGATTATGAATTGTATAATATTACTCTAATTTATTCTTTGGTTCACAGGCCGACAGGTGGCAGTGGACTGGGCGGTTCCCAAGGACAAGTTTGTTGCCACTCAGCAATCCTCCACCACAGGTACGTCTCTCGTCTATCCTCTTAAATAGTGAACAGCTGCTTGTTGTAGTAGTATCCACCGTGCATTAATAGTCACTAGAAAACACACCTTTTAAAAAAAACAAAAACATTTTTATGACCGAATAGAAAACAAGAATACTGAAGAGACGACAGCAAAACAGTCCGACGCAGAGACTGACCCCGAAGAAGACGAGGAAGAGACGATACAAGAAGCACCTGGCAAGAAAAAGTGTGCACCTTTAAATATGTTTTCAATATGTTCATATGCCACTTGCTGCTAAAGATACATTTACGGGTCATTTAGAATGTATTTTTGTATTATCTGGTATTATCTCTCCTCAGAGCCCCTGCAAAAGCAGCTGTTCAGAAGGAGGAAGAATCCCAATCAGAAGATGAAGATGATGATGAGAGCCAGGACAGTGAGGAGGAGGAGGATGAGGAGGAGGAGGAGGATGATGTGTCCCAGGAGGAAGAAGAAAATAGTGATGAGGATAAAGATGATGATAAAGATGATGATGAAGATGACGATAAGAGTAATCTTGATTCAAGTGATGATGAAGAAGACAGCGAGGATGAAGATGATGATGAGGATGACCTAAAAGGTAAGTCAGGTCAACATCTCTGCATGTAATGTCAAAATTCAAACGATCGGTTGTAAACGTGTTTTTAAGTTACTCTTCTGTTTAAAAAAAAAAAAAAACGTCATGTAGCCAAAAAGAAAACCGCGAGAAAACTTCTCCCGTCCGACGTGCAAGAGGGCAGGACCATTTTCATCAGGTTTGAAACTCTTCTTAATATTCTGAATATCCTTTCATTGTCCCTACGCCCCTCTATCTTTAAATGTTTTAATTTATTGTCTTTGCATGTTTGTTCACATTCCTCCTGCTGGAATCAGGAATCTGTCTTTTGACACAGAGGAGGAGGGTCTTGAGGAAGTTCTCCTTCGCTACGGAGAGCTCAACTACATAAAGATCGTTGTCCACCCAGATACAGAGCATTCAAAAGGTCTGTAGGCATCATTACGTTTTACTACTTCTCTTGATGTTTGATCAGCAGAGTCAGTCAATCATTTATTTTTTAAATTATTTTTTATTCCAGGTTGTGCGTTTGCTCAGTTTAAGACGAAAGAGGCTGCAGACAAATGCATAGCTGCAGCAGAGGAGGAGGCAGAGGTAAGACCTGATGTGTGCTTCCAGATTGACATTGTCTCAAACCTTTGCACATTACGTTTTTGTCACATTAACTTATTAACACCCGCTTGTTTCTTGCAGAACGGTGGCATCCGCTTGGATGGCAGGAAGCTGTTTGTAGTGGCAGCAGTGAGCAGAGAAGATGCCGCCAAGCTGAAAGTGAACAAAGTGAAAGTTGAATCAGGCACCAGAAACCTGTACCTGGCCAGAGAGGGATGTGAGTAAACACCCCTCTGTTCCATACAGTGTTGTAGTACTCGAGTACTATTTCGCTTTATTGTTTCTCAATCTTGTTGATACTGAATGCTTATTTCTTCTGATTTCAACATCCAGTGATCCGTGCTGGCACCAAGGCTGCAGAGGGCGTTCCAGAAGCAGACATGATTAAAAGAACCAGAGTGAGTATCGTGTTCTACAAACGACTTCAGACATCTGGATTTAGAGAAGAGACTTTTTTTGAATATAACGAATGATCTATTTGACTGACTATCCCTCCTAAGCTGTTTGTTTTTTTTCCTCTGTCTCTCTCTTAGTTTGAAGAAATAAAGAGGACAAAGCTTCAGAGCATCAGTGTGTTTGTGTCAAAGAATCGTCTGTGTATCCATAACCTGCCCAAGTCAGTGGACAATAAAAAACTCCGAGCGCTCTGCCTCCAAGGAGTGAAAAGCAGCAAAGGAGTCCGCATCCCAGAGGTGAGAAACATCATGACATGTGATGCATGTTATTCCACACGGCACTGTGATTAACCCTCAGGCATCAGTTTCATTTACTACCCTCTCAAGTCACAAAGGACAAAAGTGTCCATGCCAAAAAACTGCTTTAAAAATAGAACAGATTGATATTTTTTTCTACTTTTTTCTACATACATCTCTTAAACAACTTCAACCCTGCTCAAAACTACCAAACACAAATTATTTTTAGGAATTTAACCCTTTAAATGCCAGGATCATGTAATCAAACTGGCATTTAAAGGGTTAAATTCCTAAAAATGATTGGATGTTTGGTAGTTTTGAGCAGGGCTGAAGTTGTTTAAGAGATGTATGTAGAAAAAGATATCAATCTGTTCTATTTTTATAGCAGTTTTTTCTAAGTGAGCATTTTTGTCCTTGGTGACCTAAGAGGGTAGTAAACATGTTTCACAGTGTTCTATTGATCTACTAAAAAAAATTTACATTTGCATTCCAAAATGTGTCGAGAGAGTCTTTCTTACAAAAAATGGTGCCATATGCACTAACAGAGACAAAATGATGTCCAGATGAAGAGGTAAAATCTGACCAAATGGACAGAAATGTCCATAGTGATGCACGAGGGTTAAAGTACTCGTCATTCATGGACAGCAGTTTTGTGAGTGGTAATGTTAGGCTGTCAAAGCAAACATTGTGTCTTCATGCCCAGTAGGGGGTGCTGTTGCCTTTCTTATCCAAGTTTTTTTTTTGTTTCCACTTCTAGTGTCGGGTGATGTATGACAGGAAGCCAGAGAAGGGTCAGGCGATGGGACAGTCGTTGGGTTACGGCTTTGTTCAGTTCGACGAGCACGAGCACGCTCTCAGCACGCTGCGTTACCTCAACAACAACCCCGACATCTTTGGCCCAAACAAGGTACACAATCACGTGGAAGTCAAAGAGTGCTGAAATCAGAACGGGTTGATCTTGGAATGTTTGTTCCACTGTCTTCATTAACACTTTTAAATCTGAGACTTAACATCACTGGATGGAAAAATCACTTCTTTTCATATTTCATGTTTGAAGATCTTAAAATGTTGTTTTGGTGATGCATGTCTAAAACTACATTTCATGTCACCCTGCAGAGACCTATTGTTGAGTTCTCCCTGGAAGACTCGAGGAAACTCAAAATAAAAGAGTTGCAAAAACAAAAGAACAAGGTGAGTTTATGTCAACCTGTTTGTTGGTGTAATGTTTCAAATGAAGACGCTGTTTTTATAAATTCAATGAAACATGTGCTTACTCTTTTTTAAAGGAGTTCCTTCAAAAGCAGAAATCTCAAGGAGGTGCCAAACCTCAGCCCAACACATCTGAAGGTGGAAATAAAGCTCACTCCTCATCACAGCAGACTAAAAGGCAGAACGGTATGAACATTATTTTTGTATCTGTTTTCTAATTGTTTTTCCAGCTGAAAGATCATATTAAGACATTTTTATCGTGTGGGGCAAAAAGGTGAAAACACAATTTTCTTTTTAATCATCCTGTTACTATTTACATTATTTCACTTTTTTTTATATTTTTTTATATTGTCTCTCCCCTGTCTGTGTTTTATCAGCTCTTCCTCAGCAACCGAGAAAAGACAGAAACTATTACGGCTTCCAGACCAAACCTGAGGTCGAGCACGTCAGTTTAGAAAACGGGAAGAAACGAAAGAAGGTCCTGACTTTTCCTTCCCACCATGGACCCAAGATCAGGTACAGTTTTTTTATTTCATCCTGTTAACATAGTGCTTTGTAAGACTTAGTTCTAAAGCCGATGCATCTGAAGCTTTAATGTCCCTGTAATCCTGAGTCTGAGATTATACTGACAATTCAAATCTTTTGGTCTGAACTGTTTCTACCCTTTAAATACCAACATATCTCTCGTGCTGCCTCGACCAGGATGATTTAAAAAAAAAAAAAAAAAAAAAAACAGTTCCAGGTTAAAGTCTTTATATGTGATTTTTCACACTTAAATATAATAGAAATCAAGTATATCCTCTGAAAATAACTCTGTGAGTCATGACTGTCTACAATGGTGTAACACCCGAGTCCCACTGTCTGTGATGTTTTCAGAGTTTTCAGAGTCCTATCTTCACTTTGTTTACATCGCCCGGACGGCCGGCTGACTCCTCCCCTCGTGTATAAAAGTTGTTTAATTGAGGGACTAGAGAAAAGAAGAATAACATACTGTACTCACTGCTTAACTGTGTTTCTAGATCACGCTCATTGCAGGTAAATTTACATGCAGTGTGAAGATACCAGCATAATAAAGATCGCTAGCATTAGCATGCTAACACAACAATGCACAACAAGTTGTTTTGGTTTCATGCTGGTGCTCAAGGGCGACATCTGCTGGATCAAAACATCACATATAAAGCCTTTGATGAAAGTATAAAAAAGAACAAATCAAACAGAGCCATACTTTGCAGGGGCAAAGAGCAAACTCTAGATCTGTCTCACTCCAAAAGCCCTTTTTTTTCTACAAAAAAGCCACAACTAAGCTCAGCCATCATCACGTCTTGGTACATTCATATTCATTCCCCGACAGCGTATTACTGGTGTATGAGTCTGTGAGTTCATGGCATTGCACAGTGCTCGCTTACCACATCTGTTACTACCTCGGAAGATGATACAGAGGGGCCTAAAAGTCTGATCCTGTCATTTAAACCAGTGCAAAACCATGTCTTTAACAAATCCAATGTGACAGGAGCTTAATCAGCATATTTTGCCTCGTCTTGTCTTCTGCAGAATGCGTGACAAAGGAAAACAAAAGGCTCCGCCACCCAACAAAACAAGGCCTGGAATCAGCAGGAAAGAGACTCAAAAACGGCAGATGGAAAAGCCCACACAGTCCAGAAACCAGGTAAATACATGTTGTGTTGTATTTGTACCTCACCTGTGGTAATACTCTTAAGAGTCTAACCCATGTCCTGGAATATCAAGCGGTGTTTTGGAAAATAATCCCAACACTCTCCTACAGGGGAACCATAAAAAAATGGATCATAACATGATATTAAATGTAAATGAAATCACGGACTGTCATACCAGCTCATACCCGCCGCAAATAGAGTGGGAACCCTGCTGCAGACAGTAATAATGAATAAATCCGTCTGAATGAATTCCAATACTGACAATAATTTCAGTATTCAATTACTTAACTTACAATTAATAACATCAATAAAGCTCCCACATCTGTGAACTTAGAAAACTCTTATTTCAAAAAAAGGAAACTTTCCAAACCCAGAACGAACCAAGTGCTGCTGATAGAACATCCATTAGACCTGCTGAGGTTTGATGTGTTTAAAATGTTAAAATAAAACAAACAGGGACCCCTCTATCACAAAGAGGTTAGATAAACGACTGAAACACTTACTGTACATTTCTAAGTAGCTCAGATAATATGAAATTGAACCCTTTGGCACCACCAAGTGAATTTATTGTAAAACTGTTGTACCAACATGAAACCATTAGGAATCGGTACAAAAAGTAATAAAGTCAGACTTTCAGACCTGTGATGTCATCGCAGTGCACGCGTACAGTTCATTGAAATTAGACGGCTGCTCTTACTGGAAATCTAAAGAACTGACAAGAATAAAAAAGACTGTCTGACATGACGTGGTGTTTCTTCAGCCTGACTCCCTCTCAAAAGCTCCTGGTTAGAGCGATGATTCAAAATAAAAGGATTTGATTTATATATATTTATACAAAAGGACAACGAGGTAAGCTTCTCTGAGTATCGACAACACAAGGTTTTTGTTGTGCCGTTTTATTGATGAATCTTCCCCCTTTCATTCTGATTCAATTCAATTCAATTTATTTTGTATAGCGTCAACTCATAAAAAGTGTTATCTCAAGACACTTTACAAAAAGCAGGTAAAAGACCTTACTTATTGTCTGTTAACATTACAAAAGAGCAGGTAAAAAGACCTTACTCATTGTCTGTTAACATTACAAAAGAGCAGGTAGAAGACCTTACTCATTGTTATGATACAAAAAGCAGGTAAAAGACCTTACTCATTGTTATGATACAAAAAGCAGGTAAAAGACCTTACTCATTGTTATATTACAAAGATCCGGTGTATCCATCATGAGCACTTTTAGCAAAGCAGCAAAAGTTACAGTGGTAAGAAAAAAACTTTCTTATTAAAAAGCAGAAATCTTCAGCTGGATCCCCGGCTCATGACGAAACAGCCTTCATAGGCCTAGACTGCGCCGGGTTTGGAAAGGGATAGAGGGAGAGATGGGATAAGATGCAGGAAGAGGGATAGGGAGCAAGGGGGAGGGGGGAGGCAGACCGTCCATCAACAATCCGGTGGGGAGGGCGGGGGGGGGGGTTGTTCTGGCAGGCCGTCAACCAACGATCTTGAGGAGCCTGATCAGGACATAGTTTACAGAAATGTTAAACTCTTTTACACATCGCTTGTTTATGGCTGATTTATTTATTTATTTATTTTTAAAGTAAGGACAATCGTTTTTATGTAATCAGCAATATGAAAAGCACTTACCGATGCAGGATGCTGCCACTGATTTAAACACAAAAGTGATGGGTTAATAAAAAAAAGTTTGACTGTCCTGATTAGAAGAGAAAAAGTGAAGTGTGGAGAGGCAGTCTTAAACTGAAAGTCCGAGGCTCTCTGATAACATATAAAAATCCTTCATTCATCAGGGATCGTCAACGCGTTTCGACTCTACTGATTCTTCGTCAGGACATAATTGATGAAGTTGAGACAGGTGCTTAAATAGAGTGTGATGTCACGGTCACATGACACATTTCAAACATCTGATTAAGATGTAAACAAACACAGCGACTCGTATATTATGACACAAAAATATTTCAGAACTTGTTTAAGTACGGTAGGATGAGAGAGTTCAATGCAAAGCACTCACACACACACAACGTTACAAAAATGACTAAAGTGATGTGATCTAACCGTCTTCAGTCTGATGCCATGCGGTGCTTTTGACAAAATCAAGGAACCTGAGATTACAAGTGTACTGTCTAGACCTAAAGTGTAGTGTTAGGTGGGGGTTATTTCTATGATAGATGGACAATGATGAAATTGTGAAACAGACTGTGGATCATCTTAGATTTATTCAGCCATGGTCAGACAACACAGAAACACAACACACATGGCTGATAAAGTGCAGACCATCGCTGACCCATGCTGACCATGACCTCGCAATCATTGGCAAAGTGGCAGAATGGCTCCATCTTCACAGTGTTGCTTATATTCTGCTAGAAGGTACATCCTACAAATTCTTGGCTGCTTCCTTACATCTCTATAAGGCAAGAAAGAAGACATCAGCTTGACTCGTTAATGTCAGTCACATACATTCTTAGCAAACCTTCGCTTACAACAGACAGTTGGCTCCATACCAAATATAACTCTGCTGCTATGAGATATTTTACATAGATATGGTTTCCCCTTGAACCTGAGAGAAGAGTTACTCTTGGTCGACAGATTTAAAGATATAGCCACAAAATTACCAAGATGAATCAATTCATGAAAATACGTACTAACATGTAGCAGTGCAGAAGGATTACTGCTTACAAGTATAAACTGTGTAAGGTCATGTGTGTGTTTTTAGTCTTGATTATGACAAGTTTCAGGATAACCTACTGAAAAACAGTTTCACATACACTCACACATTAAAGTATTCTTATTACACAATACTCTGACAGTAAATGTATGTTTAAATTCAGGAGAAAAACAATGCACCATGAGGACCGTAATCTAAAGAGATAACCTTCATAATCACAAATGTTGCAAGAAATACTGACCCGTGTAAATAAGGCTGATTAAGTCTCAGTTTTTGAAACATTTCATGACTGCACGTCTTCTTTTTTGTCGCTGTTTTTTTTTTTTTTTTTCAAAAGGCTAAACAAGCGAAGAAGCAATTCAAGAGGAGGGACGGGGACCGCTTTGACAGCCTGGTGCAGCAGTACAAGAAGAAACTGATGGGGAACAGTGACAATAACACCAACATGAAGAGAAACAAGTGGTTTAATAGTTAATACTGTATGTGTGTTTTTGTGTATGTACGTGTGTGTGTGTGTGTGTGTGAGAGAGACAGTGAGAGAAAGAGAAAACGAAAGTAAGGCCACCTCCTCTGTGTCCATCCTTTAGGTTTCAACTGAAGCACAGCAGACGTCTCGTACTAGTTGTGTGTTTTGTAATGGACGGGATGTTTTGCTCATTAGTTAGATTTAACTTCCTGTCGTCCTCCTCTGTAATCAATTCTACCACAAGTTTCAGATTGATCCAAGTGTAATTATATTTTGTGTGTACATGACTTCTTTTGAAAATATACTAAAAACCCTTGTTTTTTTGTTTTAAATTGTCAGTGTCACACTTTTGTATTAAATCCATTTGTGTTGGATTCCCAAACATGTCATTACAGTTGTTCATTCACTCCTTGTTTTTAAACGGGAGTTAATGATAAGCTCTGGATAAACAACTCCCACTCATGGACCCTAAACAGAGATGAACACCCACATTTATATTTTCATCTGCAAGAGTTTTTTACACAACTTTTTATACAACACAAAATTTCAATTGTATCAAATGTTTATTCAGTTTGAATCAAATAGTGAAAAAAAAACTTTACAAAAATATAAAAACAAACATTATCAAACATACGTGGGAGATTTTGGAAGAGCAGATGATATTGACCTGCAATGAAAGTCACCTTCACCCTTCCTCTCCTTGGAAGTTGTTGTTATATTTGGCTAGTTTTCCGGAATTTCCACGGATGACATTAAAGCTCAATGGGAAGTTTTTCTTTGGTGGATTCAGCTCACTTTTAAACATTTTGCAACATGGAGGACTTTTGATATATCGCAGTGTAAAACTTTGTTCATTTTACAGACAATTTGAGAACAACACTTAATGCTGTGAAAATTCAATGTTAATTTAGAAAATACATATTTCTCCAAAAAAGCCATATAAATATAAATATATGTATATAAATAAATAAGCATACATTTCAAATGGTAAGTCAGACATCACAGATGCAAACTTTACATATTGGCCAGAAAAATCAAGTCGATGAAGTATTGCTCGTAAGGCCGGACTCTCAGCAAGTCTCGAGATGATCCAGATTTTTCAGCAGCAGTTTGAGGAACTCCTTCACCCTCATGAGAGCCTCCATGCTCACGGTGTGGATGAATTCTTTCCGACTCTGCAGCTCTTGCAGCGGGCCCGACATCGATGGCTTCGGCCGCAGCTCGCTGCAGTGTCCCTGCCTCCACTGGTTGATGTAACCCGCCAGCGAAGAGATCTCCATCTTGACCTGGGCGACCCCGTTGAAGGAGTCCGAGATCACGCTGTTATACCCCTCCAAGGTGTTCACTATGGAAGAAGGTCCATCCAGTTCATCGGCGGGCGGACTGATCGTCAGGCCGGCAGGGACCTTGCAAGAAGAGAGAGAGAGGGCATGATTGGATTAAAAAAAAAAAGCAACTTTGAAGGGTTTGAGAGTCTGTGCAAAAGCACCAAATCTTTACCTGGAAGTCTTTGTTCAGCCGAATCACCAGCTGCTCCGTCATCCACTTCACTTTGGATTTCATCTTCACCACTTCGACTGACAGAGGAGCAGCCGTGCCTTCACTTAGAAGTTGCAGTAGAGAAAACACAATTGCCAGATTGTACTGCATGTTTCGTAGTCCTTTCGGTAGATGTAAAGAATTCTGGTCTGGTATTTCTGGAAGAAGAAAATTAAGACATTACAAGTTGTTTCCTTCTTATAAAAGATGGCACAGTCATCCATCTCCCACAGCTGTTTCATTATTATGTCACCTCACTTAAGAGGGCAGGCATGAGTTCATTTCTAGCATGTCATCATTTTTGTACACAAACTTTTTGCTTCTTTCCAGTAATTTATTCAGTGTGTTTGTTTCTGGCAGCAAATATTTGTGATGAAGAGACACCTGGGAAATGATAACTGTCCTCCAGGGTACAAAGATCACAGACTTTGGATAACGATCCAAACATTTGCTACGTGACTAAAAGTAACCATTAAAAAAAAACCTCAGCTGCGTAACACAATCGATACTCAACAGGAAATTCTGTCACAGATGTCTTTTAAACATCAATTAAAAATTTAAAAAATACAAAAAAGGCTCTTAGTGAGCAGATGCTCCAATAAAAAAAAAAGTCCCAGAAAGTGAAAATAAAAATGTAAAAGTTCAATAAAGACACTTTTAATGAGATGGGGGAGAAAAAGTTGACCCTTACCTTTGCTGCCTGCCTCTGAGTGTGTGCCACTGTTAGGCTCCATCAGGGTATCTTATAGTGGAGGACTGTTGACTCATCTCTTACTCACCTCTGTCCGACCCCCCGTTTCCCCCCTCTCATCCACCCCCTCACTTTACCTCTCCCCCCCATCTCACACTCTTCAGTCCCCTGGTGGTGCTGCTGCTGCAGGATGGGACGGAAGATGAATATAAAGTATTTTTTTTCTTCTTCTTAATGCCATGCAACATATATGAGTCACAAGACAAGAAGTTGTATAGCCAAAAATAAGGAAGTGTTTGCGGATGCAGCTATTCGAATTTTCAGTTGGAAACAGAAAGTGTCAGGGGAGCCGCTAAATGATTTCACTGGAAGGATAAGTGTTCGCTCAGAAGGTATTGTACACACATGTTTGTGGGTTAATATTTTCTATTAAAGTCTATTTTTCAGGATTAAAATATGTCATATCCTCTTCAACTTTAATACGGATAACCCAGAATTTACAGATAATGATAACATCATCTGTACCACTTATCCCATTTGGGTTGCAGCCAATCCAAGCTGTCATTGGGCAAGAGGCGAGGTAACCCCTTGACAGGTCGCCAGTCACTCAAGACTAGCATGAAGAGATACAGATAGTACGTCTTTGGACTGTGGGAGGAAGCTGGAGTACTCAAGAGAGAAACCCTGCTTGCACAGGGAGAACGTGCAAACTGAAAAAAAAAACTGTTCATTTTGTGGCAGCCAAGAAAACAGCAGCTTGCCATATATGTCACATCCTGTCCTCACTTATCTTTCTAAACATTGCCTAATGCCCACAGCTGTATTTATTCAGGAAGTGCAGTTTCTACACACACCTGTACAGTAGCAGAAAAATAAACATTGAAGAAATTATATCAGAACAGGTGATCTCCAAATAACTTAATGTTGCTTATTTAGAAACAAAAAAGATTAGTTATATCTTATAAACAAAGAAGTCATTGCTTTTTTATTTTTATTTTTTGTTTGTTTTTGTTTTGTTTTGTTTGTTTTTCCTTTGTTTTACTGTGTTTTGTTTTGTCCTGGCTTTATGGAGAGGTGAAGTGTACCTCTTGTGTTTTTGTTTGTCTATTGGGTGTTACTATAATGAAAAAAATAACAAGGGGAAATACATTCAAATTGAAACTATTCACTTTACATGTTGAGTTTGCTTAATTGCTGAGTTTGCATGTTTTACATGAGGAAATAATGTTTCTAGTTTTAGCCGAAGGATCAAACAGAGAATGGTAGTAGTATATAATCAGACAATACTTTTTTTTATGGGAAGGTTTCTAAACATTTGGGTCAGCAACTTTATGTTAATTTCAAAGCTATCAACCCCAATGTAAGCATGCATTTATGCAGCACAAAATCACCTTTTCCAGCATTGTTGTTAACTTTAAAAGAAGGACTTTAAATTGTAGTTTTTGTCTTATTTTGATCTGACGCTGCTGTTTACACCTAGAATTGTAGAAAGTGCTCTGTGACTGAGTTCAGGCTATTGTACTGTAATCCAGTGGAAATGAACAGATGAAAATGAATGCCAGATGTTTTTGATGTCAGCCTCTTGTTTTCTTTTATTGACGTCATAGCCATTTTTCAAGCATTCATTTCACTATGTTTCACTACCTTGTGTTTTTCCCCCCTGAGTGGCAATGTCTGTTTTTTTTCTCCACTGAGGATGGGAGTGGCTTGGCTGTTAAAAGTTTCACTTTCTCTGAAGCCACAAGAAGTAAACCAGGCCAGAAAATATACGCATTACGGGGAGGTCTGAACAAAACAGGACTATGATGGTAATTTCACCTTTCTAGCAAGGAAATTACAGTAAATTACACAATCTCTTAGCTACTGCACACACATACTCCAACATGTCCAAGACTCACATGCAGAGAAACAGAGGTGTTATAGAATGACTCTTTTAGGGAAAATGAACAGATCTGTGATAGGAGCTGAACATTTTTGGGAAAAGGGACACACTGAAGGACATATTTCTGGGAAGGGAATTAAATCAGTGACAGTGTCCCTGTTGTATTTCTAACTGGAGAAGTGTTCATAAAAGAAATATGTGCAGGAATAAAAGGCATGATAAAACATAGTTGGATGGATAGATTCCAAGAATTATTTTAGAATCCTTTAGAGCTTTATTCTCTGGTGGCTTAAGAGACATTTCCAGCAACAGAGCAGGTTTGCACACAAAACATACTTCTATGACATCTGGGATGAATTAAAGCTGCATGTGTTTTAAACTATTTTAAAAATCTGGAATTTTCCTGCAAGTGTGACGACAGAAGACAGGAAATTTTTTTGGCCCAATGTTGATAGTTCTGACTGTTATTCATTCACTTTCCTCACATTGGACAACACATTCATGATTCACATTTGTATTTCAGATGTACAGTATCTCAAATAGGTCAAATCTATTGTGAGTCTCTGTTATCCTTTTCATGTTCCTTAAGCAAGAAAACTTCTCAAAAACAGAATCCAACGTATTTCTCTTTTTAATGAGTTTGTAGTTTATGATGCCAACACTTCTCAGCTTGTTCAAATTTAAAGCCAAACAGAAATAATACACAGTCAAAAAGCTCCAGCAAACACCTTTGTGGGTCTACAATCCCATATCTCTTGATTCCCTTGTCCCTTAATTCATATTTGATCAATCATTCTGAATTCCAAGCAAGACAAGAAGTCACTTCCTTGCACTTGCCTGAAGGACACGGCAAGGCCTCATTAATAATACATGAGGACTTTGTGTCACGTGACTTATGGGAGCATATGAGTCATAAGTGTGTGTCCCTCTTTTTACTTGCACACACAGTTATATTGCGTGCACAATATCAGGTTAAGTGAATGAGTCTAACTACCTATAACCAGTTGCTGACGTATTTAAAACATGGACAGAATAGCCAAGGTCAAGCATCAACGACCTGAAGCTTCGACTGTGCCATGTTCATGAGTCTCAGATTACTTCTCCAGATGCAGCATGGAAACCAGGAATTCCACTCAGCAAGATCTTGCCGGCATGAGTCACAGGAATGATGGGAATTCAGATTTAGTGATCCTGCATGTGCTGCCTTCCAGCCCCCATGTGTTGTTTTTTTTTTTTCCCCCAGTCTACCGAGTGACGTTAATACTATAAAACTGGTCTGAAAAGACCTGATTCAGCTTTCCTTTGGCGAGGGGGGTTGAGGGGTGTTTAATGAGTCGGAACTCTGCAAAAGTCTAGTCAGAGCAAGCAATATCCTTAACAATGAATATGTTAAGCAACACGTTTCCCTTGGGTCATTTCTATTCTCCATAAAACAAATATAACCAGTGAAACCCATTAGAAAGGATGAGATGATTGTAACTGTGAAAACATCTGAGTGAGTTTGGGAAGATTCTATCTGCTGCTGGCATGTTATGCAAGGTCCCTGAATGTTTCCAGGTTCATTCAGTTCATGCCTTTTCCCACCAGCATATTACCAGGAGGCTTTTCTTGATTTCTGCCAGCGTTGAATAATACATTTTAAAAGACACTTACAGTAATCTCTGTCTCTGGCTTGCCACATCTCTGCAGGATTAAGTTTTTAGCCAAGTTCAGTGACGATAAGTCCCCTGCAGAGATCTTCACATGTTTTTAGGAAGAGAGTCGTGCATTGACCAGTAGATCGGTAGATGTAACCTAACCTATGACCTTGCTTCAAGGAAGTTAATCTAGAGTTGGATTTTATGAATGTCTGAATAATCAATAAAGCAAACCTTCTCCAGAAACTGGTAGATTGCTTATTTTTTGGTAGGAGTACCAAGAAAAGTACTACAAGTATCTTGAAAGCCCCGTTTCCACCAAGTGGTCCGGTTCAGTTTGGTTCGGTACGGTACCCATTTATTGGCATTTCCACCGTCTAAAGTTGGGAATGGTTCCAAAACAAGGGATCCGTACAGTCCTACTCTTTTAGTACCCTTCTGTTGGGGTGCCAAGGGTAGTGATCTGACCCTAAATGATCCCTTTTGTGTTCTTCTTGAACGTTTCACTTAATTTCTATCTGGCTTCACTGTGTTGGGCTGCTATGATGTCACACTATTACATAGCTGTCTCCATCTGGCTTACACATTGCTTACCAAATAAGGGTATATGGTTGGCTGTGGAAACGCAAGCAAGATCAGGCTTTACCGTACCGAACTGTACCAAACTGTACCAAACTGTACTGAACCAATGTTCATATGGATAGCTGCGATCTCAGCATCTATGAAGGTATTGTCCCATTCCGTTGTGATCATGAGAAAGAAAAAAAAAGGTGTCTGTCAAATGAAATGTCTTCTGTAGGGTGGCTGAGTCCAGAGATCTGAATCATTCTTGGTGCCTGCATTTAAAAGAATGATGTCTTTACTACCTTGCTAAGCATTTGGGGTTGTATCTCCCCTCGGATCGGTAATGGA